AAATGTGTTGCTAGGCGACAATCCGTAGCTTCAGAGCACCACCGTACAAAGACCTTTCTAGTGCTCGTGTCATTAAGATTGACCAATGGGAAAACTCTATTTAATGTTAACAAGTTGGGTAGATTATGTTCTAACTGTCAGAGTCATAATCTGGCTTGTCCAGGAGTCGCGCATCTTTCAATAGGTCGTTATAAAAAGTCAGATTCTTTTTTCGACGGCAGCATTTTCGCCGACAGCATCTGATGAACAGTACAAGCAGCAGAAGAGAGAGAATCGCGGTGACGGCAATAAAGCCCGCCAAGAAACCTGCAAAAGAAAAAGGACGTATTTAGCTCCTGACTGTGTATCAGCGGCACACGGACAGAAATCCTGATTGTTTTGTAAACATTTTTTTTCGCTATCTCTTAACATTTATTTATTTACTTATTCACTTAGAACTTCCAGTGTGTTACAAACTATCTGATTTGCTCTACCGCCTAGATTAGCCTTGCTATTTAAAAATTATTCCACGAGTGGCGTTGGATATGAGATGTAATTACCAACGAGGCGCGTAGCGCCGAGTTGGCTATAATCATCTCATATCCAACAAGCGCGAGTCGAATAATTGTTTTATTGAAAACGTGCACAAAATATCGAGAATTCTTCACTACTTTATTTGTAAAACAACTGATTTTCAGCTTGTTTTTAATTTTGAGCAGACACGTACAGTTATCATATTTAGAGAGCATGGTATAATGGCTCATATACCATGATGGCCAGGCCAATCAGAGCTTTAGAAAGGCATTATCCAATGATTCAGTTTTTAAAAATTGCGGGCAGAATAGTTTTTTTTAAATTTTGATTGTTCATTGTTGAAATAAATTAATCCTGGAACTCGATATTGGGACTCATTGGGAACAAAACTGCAAAACAGACGTACTTCTGTGTTCTTCATCTAAAAACCCATAGCAAAACAGACGTACTTCTGTGTTCTTCATCTACAGTGAGCGAAGCTTTAACCTATATATGGTTTCAACAAAAGCAAAAGGCAATCGAGATCATTGAACGATAACATGGTGACATGGTACGCCACTCGGGTCCCGGATGAAGTGGCGTATGGAATCTACGAGTGGTTTAGTTCCCAGTAAAACACTCTCCTCCATATAGTAATACGTAATAACATGTGTTGGTCACACAAACGGAATCACGGGGCACAGTTTACAGCTTCTTTTAACTCGCACGAATATGCGCGGTTTTTACGTCGCCACACGCCTCGTGGACTTTTGAGGCTCGCTCACGTAGTTAGCAAACGAGAATCCACGCTTCGACTATCTGCGACTTTCACGTTTTTCATAATACAATTTGTTTCCCCCCACAAAATTTCTTCAGGGGCAATTGTTTGTTCAAAGATAAACTGAAAACAATACTTACGCAAAATTTTGTGGGGAGGACAAGTTAAATTATGGGGAACGTGAACGTCGCAAATTAGCTAGATTATTATATTTTCAATATCAAGGTCTTAAAGGGGGTGAGAGTTTATAGTTAGCACAGAACTTACTCTTATAAACAATCGTCTTCACACACAATTTGTCTTGCTTCACGCCACAAGCTTTGTTCAGATCACCGGGAATAACATCAGCAGTCGCCCTGAAAAGGGAAGGCCAACACAGTAATTAGCAACTCAATTCCACATTCATCAACAATTTCATAATCCTCGACTGTCATCGACTTTTCTTGCACGCGTTTTTTTTTTTTCCGGCCAAGGAACGCGGGAGAAGACATAACTTAACAATCACTAAAATTGAGCGTTTTCACATGACGTCACAGCGGCCATATTGGTGTTGTAAAACAATGAAACGGCGGCCATGTTGGTGTACAAAGAAAATCCTCTGGGAGTTGAACTCTTTTCTCATGTAAATGCTTTCTTTTGTTCCAATAAATTAGTACAGATGCTGACCATGTGAGTGAAAACGCTCTAAAGGACGAATAACTTTTTCAAAGTCTAGCCGGAGCTGAGTTGCTCAAAACACAAGTCCTGCAACATATTATTTAGCCAACTCTACCAGAAAAGACTTTCTTTCGCTTGCTCGATTTTGGCATCTGCTTGAATTTGTTGAGCATGCGCTGCATGTTGTTAGGATACAGTTTCGAGCCCAGGCCTAACAGCCGTGTGTTTGGTATAGCAGGCTCAGTTATGACCATCGGTTCATCATAAACGGATGCTCGCACTCGAAAAAACTAGTTTGACGAGAGAAAACAAGACTGACAAGTCCAGAAGTTCGGGCTGCGGCGACTTCAAAGGCTTGACGCAATTCAGAGAGAGCTGGCAGAACCTAGTGTCCCTCGCAGCCGTTTTTTGGATGTCACGTTTTTCACATCCAAAAAAAAAAAGGAATGTTCTATCCTCTTCAGGGCTTATTTTCTCAAGCGCGGCTTATTTAGTCATGATACGATTTGTGATGAAACGATTTGTGAAAAGATCAAAAGAGAGAATATTTTGCCAAACCTATTTTTTACGCTGCGCTAGCGATATAGCGATACTCACCAATTACAACCATTGCTTTTTGCAGACAAATGTGTAACGAGTGAAAAAAAAGAATCCTTTGATTCACTTGCTCACTTTTGTTTTAAGTGTGACCGGAGCCACTCTTTTTTTAAAAAAAATAGCAACTTACTTGATGAACTGATCCAGGGGACAATATTCGGTGCAATTGGATAGTTTAAGAACTCTCGGTTCTGTACTTTGGCCAAACCGGTACAGTAAACGCACTGTCATGTCTTTTCTAACAATTAAACACAAACAAAATAAATTGAGAAGAATATAAGATCAACGCCTTTTTAATATATACAGGTACCCACGAATGCAACTTCACGTTTAATTTTATTTAGGGAAAAATGCTTGACAACCGAATGCTATGGGCCTCTTGCAGTTGTGCATGAATCTGAATCGGTGTAGTATTGATGATTGCATATTTTTTAGGGTTGTATTGGGGTAGTATGGGGGTAGAAACTTTGACCGAGGACCCAGCGCAACTTTGAAATGGCCATAAAAGTGATTGCTTCCCGTCTTTATACTAGCCCCGAACTACCCCAGAGACAATTAGTTCACTCTGCGTCTGGACGGATGCGTCCCCTTCCCTACCCCCTTCCCCCCTACCCCCTACCCCCTACCCCCTACCCCCTACCCCAAACATTGCCATAGTGCAATTCTCTTCAACATCGAAAGCAACCTCAACACGATAACATTTGTTACATATCATAAAAGGAGACATATAAGAAACCTTACTAATGGCACTCGAAAAGGACAGGAGACACTTTGAAGTGATGTGAAACTTACATCAATCGATGGGTGGGGAAGAGTTTGGTCAAAAATTTCATGTGTGCATTCATTTGTTTTCTTCACTAGAACTGCTCATCGATCAACATATACACAACTGTAACTGCCTTACTTGTCATCATTTTCGTCTGAGTAGAGTTCAACCATTACAGCGCTGGAGTAAGCTGGCGAGATTCCATCATAGAGATTGAGTGCGCTCAGTAATGCGGCAACTGTCGTGTCGTGCTGTAACACAGATCATACAGGAAATTACTGGAAGTTATTCAACCACTAGCAGTGGAGTGCGAGTCAACCACTAGTACTTATTTCTAACATAGATAGTTCAACGGGTGATCATGCCAGCGAAAACGGGGTGTCTGGCACCTCCCTTTCGGCTATGTTCACATTAACTGACCGGATAGCTTTTCGTGCCGACACGAGAAGTTGTCCGGCACGGTATATACCTGCGTGAGTCAAATACGTGAGATTTTCAACTTGTCATGACCAGAATTTTCGGAAACGCCCCGGCGACTTCCGAAGATTTCCGACAACTTTCCGAAGACTTCCGAACGTTGCCGAAAATGTCCGCAGATGTTTAGAAGACGTTTGAGCACTTCCAGCTACTTAAAAGACGACTATGTTTGCGTGCTTTGATTTCGTTAGAACAAAACAAAGACAAAAAGTCACTATTTAACGCCTTTTTGAATTGAATTTTCATTATTTATCATGTGTTAAAGAACAGTTTTTCCGGATTTGGGAGACAGGTGTGAGAAATTGTCTTTGATGCGTGAGATCGATGTCTTTAGTTCACAGAGTTGAACTAAGAGAGAGAGTTGGCAGGTAAAAAGCAAGAGCGGTTTGTGGCCGAGAGGGTCTGGTTCTCTTAATCCAAATCCTCACTCCTGAATATTTTCTTCCGTCTCAGTGGGTTCCTGTCCTCTATTTTCCTTTTCACCACTGCTACGGTCCGAATACCTGTTCAAAGTGTGGTACAGAAACTATCCGATACGTGACGCACATATAGGCGCGGCGCGGCTTCCCTCCGTTACAGAAATGGCGCCAAAATCATGATCACCGTTCTTGTGTGTAACAGGAAGCCCAGTCCAGTGTGGTTTTCTTGTTGGCGCAAAAGCCATCCGGTGTAGTGTGAACAAAGCCTAGATGCCAAAAGACTATGATCACAATATTTAAAGTCAACCTCTCAAGATTTTTTGTATAGACCTAATTCCGGTTACCTTGCGAATTACCCTTCTTGAAGCAGATTGCGTGTGCTCTCACCTGATCACCGTGCCGCCTTCATGACTGTAGAGTGCTCCGGTTTACGCGGGTGTACATGTAAATTCTCGCCGTATGATGTACTTTTGTCGGAGTAAAATCGAAGGTGTAAACTAGGTTCGATTTCACTGCAATTTTTTGCCGCGATATTGCAAAGGTTTTAATCAAGTTTGAAACTTCATACAACTTGGACTGCTTTGTTATATCCGGGTTCAACGTCTAAATTCTCCTACAGACATCCTCGCTAAATCACACACAAGGTTATGAAAATTAAGGATGTGATCTCGTGTGATAAAATATTATATTTTTTTGACAAACTGTCTTCATCGTTTCCATTTGAAATGAAACGTAACGAAGCATTGTAGAGAAAATGCAAGAATTGATAATGGGATACGGTACTCACAGCTGAATAAATGTGAAGTTTTTTGCAGGTTGGCTCAATGTGGTTTTTCATGTTTTCAACGATTGCTCCAACTAAGCTCCCTACAAAAACAAGACAAATCGGTACTTAAAAACAAACACTGTGAACAGAATTTAGAAATGTGACAAACCATGCCGTAAAATTCCGAAAATAAGCCCCTCCAAATATAAGCCCTCCAAACCAGTAACGCAAAAAAAACCCTCCGTTAAATCGCCCCTCCAAATATAAGCCCCGCGGGGGCTTGTACTTGGAAAACAAAGCCAAAACGGTAAATTTACTTCCAACTATAAAGCTAGCCCAATCGATTTTGAGACACAAATTTCACTCCGTAGATAAGCCCCTCCGAATATAAGCTCCTCCAAAAATAAGCTCCAAAAAAGGGCCTTTGAAAAATATAAGCCCCGGGGCTTATTTTCGGAATTTTACCGTAGTTAATTAAAGTAGAATGGTTGGAAAACCTACTATATGTTTTTGTTAGTTTTTTTGGACCTGACCGTTCCGCCCCTGCTAAAAACACCCCACCCATACATTAATACGGGCCAGTCGGTGACCGCATTAACGGGGGCCCACATGCGCCGTATTTCCTGAGGAACAAAAACGAGGACGACGTAACGTGCATTTTTTCTCAGTCTTTTAGGAGCTACGTGTATTGCATGATATCTCGAGTACAGGCTACAGCTTATCATAAACAAAAATAGCTAATTTACATGTAAGTGATTTACAAGTACAAGATGGGGGAGATTTTAATCTGAAGACTGAAAAAGATTTGGCTTAAGTTTCCAAGATGCGGTGTTATGTATAACTCTTCTAGTTTAATTTACCCTTACAACGGAGTCTTCGCCTGGATGCCTAAGAAAGTATTAAGGAGAGGTTCTTTTTTAATGAGTTGAGCGCGTGTGTGCTGGTGAAATTTGGCGGGGGAGGGGGGGCGAAGCGAACCAAAAAAAAATATGAGATTAGCTTTAAGGGATAGGGGGCAGCTGAAGAAAATACAGTAAACACCCGCATATAAGAACAAATGGATTAAGAACACCAGGCTGAAATTTGGCCAATAAAGCCCCATTTTTATAAGAACAAGTCAGCCTGAAAATTGTAACATGTTCTTATAAAATGGAAAAAGTGTCATAATTACAAAACATGTAAGTTTGTCTGCTGTCAGACAACTTCATTTGTTAATATAATCAAATTACAGAATAATTATTTATTTTATTTTCCTAAAATACGCTAAATATACCTCTAGCAACATATGTTTTGGATACTACTACTAAATAAAAATTTAAGAACATTTTGAGGCTGATTTGTCGTTAAGTACCTGATAAATAAGAACTCAATCAGCCTGACCTCCAAAATCGTGTGTTCTTATATGCGGGTGTTTACAGTATTACTGAGTGCAAAGGGGGTGCAGATTACCGAAACAGTTGCCTTTAAGTTTGGCAGTGATGACATCTGCAAAAATCCAGATAACAAAGACCTAGGAATTTTCCCCAGCTAGCCCCTTTTTAAACACAGAAGAAATTATAAACAGCAAACCTCCAGTTAATTTGGCCTTCTCAGGAGAGTCAAATAGCCACTTCATTTGAAAATTACTCATGTTCCTCATTGCTTCCCATGTGGTACCATTTGTAGCCCAAGAAGGTCTCGTCAGGTTATGTGAGTCCTGTTACAGTAAGATTTGAGATCACATAAAACTACTAACACTATACACTAATATGAATTTCAAATAACTCCACAGTTTTGAAATAAACTAAACATTACAAAGCAAATTGAAGGGATTTTTCCCATCTGAAATTTTGCTACCAAAAGTTACATACCTCAAAAAGTGTTTTTCTTCTAATTTCAGTACTATTTTTTACATTGATTTATTACCAAAACGCTCAAATATCACAAAATAATAACTGACATGCAGAACAACTCTTAAAAAGCTCCTATCATTTTTATTGTAAATATTAACAAAAGTAATCCTACTCTAAATGGGACTCAAATTATAAAGGTACCCCTGAAAAAATAGGCCACAAGTACATGTAGCCACAACCCCAGACAAAACGTTTGAGGCAGTTGCATCTATTTTGTAACTTTCGCACAATACTACCATCTCTAAACAGAAAAAGTAAGACCCCCACTTCAATCTCTATTCAAAGCTGTTTAGGTCTAAAAACCAATGTGTATAATTCTCGTGTTATCCTAAACAACTTTGGATGAGGGCAGGGGGGTTAACAAGCCTTCATTTGGCGATGGTTTCCATTTTTGCCACTGGGATGATGAAAAAAAACATGTACAGGGTTCGTACTCTTTTTATCTCTTCAAATTCCATGACTTTTTCTATGACCTTTTCAAGTTTTCAATGACTTTAGGTATAGCTGTCACTTTCAAAAACTTTGAAAACTATCCTTGCTTTAGGGCAGTTTTTGACCTGATTCATAGTACAACAGATTACACTTTGGTGTCCACCAAAATGTGTGCCATTTGAACTGTTAAATTGCCTTTCTCTATCTAACTTTGTCCTTGTTTTTACGTCTGCAGTAACTAATCTAACAAACAAAACCTCAATTTTCTATGACTTTCCATGGCCAACAATAACTAATTTCCATGACTTTCAAGGCCAGGAAAATGAAATCCTTAAATTCCAAGACTCTTCAAGTTTTCCATGACCTGTACGAACCCTGAGGTATTTTTGTGACGTGTCTCAACAGCTTTTGTCCAGGGTCGCAGCTAGAAGAAATGAAACATTTAATAAAGTTGTTTATTCACTCGTTCCTTTGTTTTGCTTGAATTTTTTTCCTCACATAATATTAATGGTAAATTTATTTTACTTATATTTATGGTAAATTTTACAAAACTTTTTACCATAGCCCCGAGAGTTGGGCTTGCAGATTTATTAAGCCATGAACTTTACCTGAAAATACAGCAGCCTCTTATCCCTCTCCTCCCCCTCCCCTCCAAAGTGAAGGTGAGCAATGAGAGGCACCACACTGTATTCACAGGCTAAACATCTCACAGTAAATATTATGCGGCAGAAAATTAACTACCATTAAGGTAACTTGTTAAAATATGAAACTGGCAACAATTATCTTTATTACCTCACAAAAAAGTGTGTCATATACTTGATAGCCATTGGCTAGAGTGTATGTCTTGTTAGCGTGTAGAGAGATATATGACAGCAGTTCCTAGAAAACCAAGATAATTTTCACAGGGTTTATTAAAAAAATTGCAACTTTTTTTCAAGGACTTTTCAAGGACTTTTCAAGGGCCACATTAGATTTTCAGAGACCACCTACTAGGAATATAATTTCAAAGACTGTACATAAATGCACATTCCTAGTCTATTCTAATAAGAGTTTAAGGCTTGAACTGTTTGCTTCACCAGCTTCTCTACATTTTTCAGTTCACTTAAGTCTTAAATTGATAGTTAATTATTGCATAAAACATTGAGTACTTTGTGTAAATAACCTTTCAATTTTCTGATCTATGATTTATATTCTGTCCTGGACAACCAAAAAGCATCAAAACACACTTTTCAGGCCACTACATTTAAAGTTGAAGAAAATTCAAGGACTTTTCAAGGACTTGCACAGAAATTTAAGGATTTTTAAGGGAAAAATGGAATTCAAGGACTTATCCCCTAAAATTCAAGGACTTTTCAAGACTGTGTGAACTCTGTTTATCTTTTTAATTAAGAGATCTGAGATCAACATTAGTGTGAGAAATCACACTGGCGATCACATAAATCATACATATGTAAGCCCAGCTGTCGTGAAGTTTTTTTCCTAACCTTGTTTTTCTTGGCCATATTCTGGTATTCTGGGTCCTGTCTTGACTTTTCAATTATCTCATTTAGACGAGGGCAGTTGTAATCAAAAGGTCGAAGAAGCTGAAATAAAAATATACCGATATAAGCCAATGGTAGAAAATGGCCTTGTCATCACTAGTCAAAAACAGTGAGGTTACTAACTGAAAGTTTACCGGTTGTAAGAACTTACATAGTCCTCCTTCTTTGGAACCACATGGACACCAATCGGCTGCCAGTCCAAATTTTTCCGCCATATCTAGGAAACATATAGGCACCATATAAATATTTTATATTTATATTATTATTATTAAACAACATTTCAAACATAAAAAAATCATATTCTTTACTGGCAATTAATTTTTTTGTTACACCTAAGCAGGAACAAAATATGTTGCCAGGTAAATACAACAAGTCACTGGCGAATAAAAAAAGTAGGAATTTCTATTGGCTCTATTTTTCCCTTATTTTCCCATGAAAGTAGCTGGAGATCACCCTCATAGAAGCCGGGGGAAATCCCCGGTCCTCATCCCTTAGTTATAGTTCTGCAGCTTTAATTCACTTGGAAAAGGAGCACCCCCCCCCCCCCCCCTCTTCACCCCCCCTTCCCCAACCCCCTATCTCACCTCAAGACTACAGTGCACTTGCCTCAGCATGTGGATCCACCACAGTATAAGTGTCGACATTGGAAAATTGGTGACATTTTTTTCTTGGCAAAATCATCGAACACTTAAAATATCTATAAAATGTCTGGCAAAGCTTCTTGCAAAATAATGGACTCTTTATTTCTCACAATACACAACCAAATTTTATAAAATAATTGGCTGCCAGTTAAAAAATGATAAAAAAAATGCTGACCACTTGTACCTGCCTTCCTTGTGGTGGATATAGACCATTCAGTTGTGTCTGAGCACTCATTATACATCTATCTACGTCAGTACTTCGAACATAGATCTGTTTCAAAAAAAATAGTCAAGATAAGATTTAGTGGTCGCTTACAAGAGGTGGTTGCTTACAAGGATCAAACCAAAGGTCATCTCCGCTGCAAATGGATCTTAACACATCTGCAACTTTTTGACATGGAATTATTGCATACATTTTGTGAGTAACAACTATACGTGTAGTTCCATTCTTTGTATACCCTGAGTGAAGTAGTACATATAGAGGACAAAGGGACCACACCATAAGTCAAGTGGTCCCTTGCAAGAGATTAAAAAATTAATAATGGAAAACTATGAAATCATCAGGCCAAAAAGTGGTTGCAGTCACTTATGAGAGTTGGTCATTTACAGGATGTTTCATAGTAGGATTTTGACTGGGAAAATTTTGGCATGGATAGGTGGTCGCTTATGGCAGGTCATGGTCTCACCTAGAGGTATGTTTGACTATAGTCAGATTAAAAAGGTTACAGAATATAAGAGGATATCAGAGTGAGAGGGGAATTTTATTTGGGCCAGAAAACTGACTTTCTTAACAAGATGGTTGCCATAAAAAAATTGGTATATGATGGAGTTCCATCCCAGTGGGGTACTCAACAACGTTTTGTACAGGAAGGCTCTGTTCCAAGGTCCCACCACAGAAAAGGTACCCCTTTCAAATACCTTCCTTTGACAAATGGTACCCCTTCCACATACCTAGTTTAGAACTTTGCATCCCTTATTACAACTGCTGTAAATGCAATGTCTATTAAATATGAATAAATCCCAAAACCAGGATGTTTTCTCGACTTTTTCAAAGGCACAAAAATGCATCTGCTTACTACTCCTTTAGGGCTGGCTTTTTACAAACCGAAATGATATATTTCCCCACCCTTTTATAAACCAGAATCCTGAAAAAGGGAGCCTTTTCAAGGCATGAGCCTCATCATATAGGCCATTATTGGGGTTATACCTCGGGAGTTCCATGGTAATAATTTTACTCATAAAAAAAGCAGAAAATTTACTTATCTATTCAGCATAGCCTTGAAAGAAAAATCTTAATGACAGGAATTCTGATATTTCGCCTGGTCGCAGAGCCACAAAATTCAGGTAAATCCGCGAAATCGTGCGAAATTCACAACAACACCCAAAATGCCGCGAAATTTGGTAAAAATCTTATCAAATACGTGTCTGTACAACATATTTGAAACTTTTTTCTCTGCAACCTATCAGAAGCCTTGTAATGATGCTGACAGTTTTGATGACTGACAGCCATCTATATCAAAACTAAAAACGTCACAGGCGTCTAAAAAGTCACTCCGTCGAGGCCACCCTCCCTCCTGGTTAAAGGTGGAAATCACTTGGGTCCATATAGGAGATATGGACACCTGTGACGTTTTTAGTTTTGATAAAGATGGCTGCCAGTCATCGCAAATGTCAGCATCAGTAGGATTTTTCTTTGAGGCTATGCTTTAAGAACATTTGAATAGGCATTTGAAATTACTAGCCTAATTCCTAAAAAAGAAAATTTCCATAGCAAGTCAAAGTGTCTTCTATTTACCTCTTTGAGCAAGTAAGATGAATTAAGCAGTTTGTATTTATCAACATAAAGATGTTTGAGCAACTGGCCAAGTTTATATTCCTGCCTCATTCCAACCTGAAATTTAAAAAGACACTCTCGATTTAGGTGACTTAGGCACTGGCTGACATATTTTTTCTTTATATCTTATACCCTATACTTATCCTTTACTTACTCAAATCCCATAGAGTCACATAATTTTAACTTTTTTTATTATCCTGCGTAGAAATATCATTATTATACCACCCAACAACTCATGACAACTAAATAATTATTCTGATGAAACAAGATCAGACTGCGTCAATGTGCCATGTTTAAAAAAATTGTTTTTAACACGTTTAAAAAATCTTGGATCTTGAGAATGGTTCCCAGGACTTCTCATGGAACAAATATATTCCCATGATCTCAGGACAAGGAACCAAAAAAGTGTTTGATCCATGAAATTTGAAATCCTACAGCTAGTGTGTTGATGATCAGATCATTATTACTTTTTGTAGCCACTTGAAATCTATGTGCTAAATAGCACTGAATAAATGTGTATCAGGTCTATTAAACACCCTCCCCATGTGCAAGTATGATGCTAGTATTTGTTGTGACTCATCCAATCACTTTTGAACCTCTCCCAAGTGGCACACAGGGTATGACAGATTACCAAGGACAAGAGTATTTTGTCGCCAGGAAAGTAACATTTTACTTAACCCTACGGTTTTGAGGTATCAAAATTTTGTTTTATAAGATTTGCTAAATCTGCACTCTTCAAGTAAAATGGGTTTCCCTTGCCAAAAATGGTGGAAAAATATCAAATTCAACAGTGACAAAAACACCCTCCCTGGGCCTCCCACACCTTTCATGACATCAATGCCCCACTGTTGGAATACCTGATATGACAAATGCCCTGGGGGTGGGGTAGGGACACTTGCTATTGACTGCTGAGTCGACATAGTCATAGTCAAAAAATGTCAAGAAAACAAGGTAGACAGTAATAATGTATTGATATGCAGGGATTATTGGTTTAAGTAAAAACAAACCTGAGTAAGCTGCCCCAGGCCTTGAGGCCAGAAATTTTTATGTTCATCTGTTGGGAAAAAGGTGTAGGGGGAGCGGTCGCCATGGCGATATACCTGTCGAGACATTAAATTCAAATTACATGCTAATTAAGTTGTTCATAGCTGTATATTAGATATATAAATACAGCAGATTTAAAATAAGTACAACTATGTGGAGGCCAGTATAAAAAGGGGAAACCTGATAATTTCAGATAGAAAGCATTCAAATGACCATTTTGCAAAAGACATAAGATAAAACAATACTCCTCAATGCAAGGGCTCAGCTTTACAAGGGTATTTAATCAATCAAGTTTCCTTTGTTAGCGTGGCTTAAAGTACATTTACTTGCATGAACCTTTGGCTATAATGGTAGCTTTTTGTGTGGTGAAGGAATCAGTGAAGCTTTTACTTTAGTTATAAAAGCCCCCTGTTAACCAAGGGTAAAATTTCAACAAGGGAAATGAAATCAGGAGAACCTTTCTCAGAATCATTTTCCTTGAAATTTCAAAAACAATGAGGAAGTAAGCTTACTACTTTGAAAACACTGACACGATACTCAGATGAGTAATAAAATGTAAAATAATTTAACTTTAATAAATCAAATAATTACATTTACTTCCATATCTGCCTTGAAATTATATGAACTATGAACGTAACATTGACTGCAGAAGACTCAGGCTTGTGTCAGTGCTTGGTTCGCGGAAGGAAGTAATAAGCCTTATATGAAACGCAAAATACTTAAAACTGTGTATATCCTCTCATCTTCTATGCATAGAAGAAGCTAGTTCGCAAGCTCAATTTCCAATTGAAACTAGGTTGAAAACTCCGAAGTCAACTTAGACGCCTTGTAGGGACTCGATCTTCTCCAGATCGGTTATTATATTTACCAAGCTTAGTCATACACTAGTGACTACACTTGTGATTTTAATTAAGCCGTATAAACTTGGGAAAATTTCAATGCGCCCAGGTTTTATGAGCTGAGGTACCTTTTTAGGGAATTACAGATCAGTGGCAAAAATTATAAATAAGTAAAGAAAGCCAGTCATTCATTGAGAGGGTCGTTAAAATTTACACGCGTACATAAAATTAACCTGTTGCAAATTTTCGTGGTCATGGCATATGCTCTGTATTGTACCAGCACCAACACATTTCAGAATCAACTAATTATATTTTACAATACTATCACAAAAAAACTCACCACATTAACCATTCTGAGCTTTTGTGCTCCATATGATAGCGTGTGAGTCTGTAGAAGCCACAAAAGACAAAACCCAAAATGAAAAACACGACCGCTTCCGCCGGCCATGTTGGCTTCGATAGATTCGTCACCAGGCTTCTCTCGTAATCCTAGTTCGAGCAGGTCCGGGCAGATCCCTAGGGGGTCATTTCCTATTTCTTCATAACTGGATTGCAATGCATTGTATTTTCATTAGAGAATGGGGTCGCACATATTCGGCATTTTGGGGGATCAGAAAATTCAGGTGTGTAAGGATTTAAAAATAAGAAGATTTTTACCACATTAACTTGACAAATGTGTCAATTTATTTCAGGATGACCTGGTTAGAAGACTTTTTAAAGCTAGATGCATAAACAGAAAATGACTAATTTTGAATAGCAGAAATTACATTTTGCTAAAAGTGACTAAAAAGGAGTCTATAACTGGGCACGGAATAAACTATAATGGGGTAGGAGTTATGAGAGGCCAAAGGCACATACTCAGCCAAAATTAACCCAAGTTCCCCCGCCCCCCACAACCCCCCAAAAGACAGTGTGTGCTGTAAGATCCTATAAATCTCAATCCAGTAGAAAATGCAATTGGTTCCAATACTTATCCACTGGGTCAGGCCCATCCGGTGACCTTATTTTCCAATCATTTAGGTCCATTTTCTCTTCCAAAAAGGTGGAATAATTCAGCTATTTGGAGTGAGTCTGTCGCTTTGAAACCACTCTGAAGACAGTTCCAGCTAACAAAATTATGAAGATTGCCTTCAATTTTGGAACTGTTCCAATCTCATACTCATGTACTGACAGGCAGACGAGTCAATATAGGATTGCAAATTGTAACTGAATGAGCACTGGTATAGGCTATGGTTTGCTTCACAACCCACAAAAAAATTCATTGAGGGGGGCAGAGATTTGGGAAATTGTGCTTACCACAGGAAAAAATCCTCCATATGACCAGCATGGCCAGCATAGAACTGAACATAGCCTTATTCATTCAAGTCCTTGCATTTGGCCTGATTTGCTTGTTTTTGTAGACCTTTCCCACATAATTTCCTGCAAACAAAGACCTAACAACTCAAGACATGGGTTGAGGAAGTACAGTTATTTGTAGAGTGCTGTCCAATCAAGCATCAACATCATATCATTGTCTGTGACTACTGAGAGAGAATGTGCTAGCAAGTCATTTTGCAGAATGCAGAATGGGCACCAAATAACTCTGAGGTTAAGGGATTAGTTTAGTGAATCAATTTATAACTTGGGTCATTAGTTAATATACAGGTCAAACTGAACTGGAACTTGACTCACTCAGTTTCCTTACCCTAATCACTACATTTCAGAGCCATTCAACGCTTAGTGGCCATTTGGCAATCTGCAAAATAACCCTAAGACAGAAATACAGGAAATGTCTTTAAATAACATGAGCAATACTCTTTTATTGATCAGAACACTATGGAACAGTTATGATGTCACAAAAATGGACACAAAAATTATGAAGAAACACAGTTAATTTTAATTAATTTTCATTTTCATTTTTTTAAAGCAAAATTGGGGCTAGATTCAGGACTAAAAGTATGTGCAGGAGGTGGGATGCCAAATATAACCATAGGGATTACAGGATTGCTCGAATTTTTGGGCAGGGATGCAGGATTGAAGAACCCCATTTGGGACCCTCTAAACTACTGGGCCACGGCAGTCACTCCAAGGCAGTCACATTCAATCTCCATTGACGTCAACATCTTTGTCATTGCTGTCATAAGCTTCACTTAGTAAAGAATCTCTTACTTCCATCAGTAGTTTCCCCATAGTGTTTTCTCCAACAATCTCACCCGTCTTCTTGTCTCGCTTCCCAGTCCAGAAATCTGTTTGACCCCGAGATGGAATGTGAACAAGCTGTCTTGAGGCCCCAGTTTCTAAAAGAAGGCTTTTAAACGGCTCTTTTTCAAACTTCTTTTGCAGAGCTCTTTTCATCCTTCCTTTTGCTACTTCCTGATCTAATCCGTCAGGTGCTAACGTCAACTTATACTTAGCAGAACCAGATTTCGAGCCAGCCGACTTAGCCAGCCTTCCTTTCGCAGTCTCCTCCTTCGCGTTTGTTGCTGCGGTCTCTTTTTTCCTATCAAATTCCCCACCTTTCATAAACCGCTTCCTGTCTTCAGAAATGAATTTCATACCCTGAAAATAATGCTCTACAGACGGAAACACGCCTTCCTCCATCTCGATATCAACTTCAAAGAAGTTTGACAACTGGAAATATGGCAACCTTGAACCAGAGAAGAAGAATATGGGTTCTTCGGCTTCATTTGAGCTCCTCTTCAAGCGTTTTGAAGGCGAACTCATGACGCAGGTGACTAACTAGGCAGATCTGTAAAGAAAGAGCATATGAAAAAGAGGAGAGAGGATTGCATCGGATGGTGCAACAAGAGCACCTACATCCGCCATGTTGGAATTGTGTTGACAGAGATTTTTCAAGAGACTGGAACCAACTTTCCTTCCCAGAGCACCAACAGAGCGCCTCGATTTCTCATTTCCCTCCATTTTCCCCGAGAGCAGCGGAACTACGTCTGTAGTTGTAAGGAGAAGATGGGTGTGAAATCAAAAATAAAAGGGGAGAGGGGTGACTTAGATGTAAATAACATATCTCAGCCTCGTATTTTGTGAAACGCCTGCAGTTCTGCTCAGGTTTTGTGCCTAGCCCTATGTCCAAAGGTAAACAAACGATGGAGGTGGACATTTAAGGACACTCTAGATAGATAGATAGATAGATAGATAGCTTTATTAAAAATCCATTGCAGCCCAAGGGCTGGATTACGGACTGTACAATACGTTGAATACTAAGACTAACTATTATAAATCAATAACAGTAAATAAATAAAACAAAGGAACAAAGATACTACGTCATGAAATTTAAGAAAATAGCCGCGAATTTACAATAAAACCATTAGAAAATAGCCGCGTTATGCATGATAAAACTATTCATTAGTCTATTTGTTCTACAAAGAGGTACGTTAAAAGCGCGCTTTCTCCTTAAGGCTACAGTACTAAGATTACGTGGCGGCAAAAGGCCATGTAATTTGTGGAGGCTGTTGTCCTTAATCTCATTGAATAGGCGCTCTGTCAGCCATTGGCGCCGTTGATGGAGGGTGGAAATATTGCACTCTTTGAGAGCCTCTTGATAGCCTAAATCTGGGAAAATAATTCTAAGTGCACGGCGCTGAATTTTTTCTAGCTCTTCAGAGAGATACTCAGGCAGACCATTGTGGAAAACTTGGCAGGCATATTCAGACATGGGCCGGATACACGTAGTATAGAAACAAAGTAGCTGCGCAGAATCTCCTTTTGCACGCTTAAGCTGCCTTAATAGATATAGCCTAGAGGCTCCTTTTTTGATAACATTCTCTATGTGAGCGTTCCACTTTAGATTGTTTGAAATTGGGAGACCAAGAAGTTTTGCGCTAGTTACAACCTCAATTGGTTTGTTGTTAATAGTAACTGCTTCGAAAGGATCTACAGACCTTGAGAGACTTATCTGCAACTCTTTACACTTGGTCTCATTCAATTGGAACTTATCTATTTCGGCTTGCCTAACTAGGTCGTCTACAGCAAATTGGATTCCACTTGGTTGGCCCTTGTGGACTGTCTCGGCCATCGATGTGTCATCGACGTACTTCCAAAGGTTGACGCCATTGACATTGATGTCATTTATCATTACCAGGAAGAGCCAGGGCCCCAATTTGGTTCCCTGCGGGACACCTGCCCTGACAGATCCCCAGTCCGAGTAGCAATCGTGGGCGAGTTTCACTCGTTGCTTCCTGTCAGTAAGAAAATCTGCAATCCAGTCCAGCACCCAAGGTGGTAGCTCATAGTCAGTAAGTTTAGCCATAAGAATGGCGTGGTCGATGAGATCGAATGCTTTCCTAAAGTCAAAGAGCACCACGTGCACTGTAGAACCGTTGCCGTCAGTATTCTTATACCAGTTGTGGAGCATGCTGATTAGGGCATGCACTGTGCTGGAGTTCGGAACAGTTCCATATTGGTTCTGGTCAATCTTCGCAAGGACGGCAGGCTTGATGTAGCCGTCAACGACAAACTCTTCCCCGACTTTGGAGAGAATTGGAGTCAACGAAATGGGTCTCAGGTGTTTGTTCACATCGCTAACAAGTGAAGTCTTCGGGAGGGGTGTAATGTCCGCTTTCTTCCACGAAGTTGGAAGGCGACGCTCCAAAAAGGAAGAATTCAAGATGTCTGCCACTGGTGCAGCCAATAAGTCCGCGTTTTCTTTTAATACCCAAGAGGGGATTCCATCAGGTCCAGATGCTTTGTTCGTATTAAGCGCCGATAGTTTCTCAAAGACTGAAAACTCAGATAACTCTACTTCGGTTTACCCACGGAAAAAAAAAACACGTTTCTGATTGGTTGTTTTATCGTGAGACTCGGAAACCACGTAGTTAAGAGAACGAAAAACCGGGAGACAAATGGGTACTTTTTTGGCATTTACATGGGGAAACCGAGAAATCCGGTTGGAAAATCAAATACTTGGTGCCATCCCGTTTGGGAAGCTTCAGGGAGTGTGGGCTGTGATTTGAGGCGCGTCAATTTTCCCCTCTTTTAGTCTGTTCCGGCTGATTTCGATATATTTTGTAAAGGCTCTCTCTCCCATCATGTCTTATGTTTTTGAACAAGCTTTCCTGCAGATTGGTTTAAGTAAATGGTAACCGCCCAAAAACTCGTTTGAACTATGTGACCCGAAACGCAAAGGCCGCTCGGAAAGAGTCTTAGGGACTGGGCAAGAACTTCCTGATGTCTCCACGATTATGTCCCAATGAAGAAACAGAATAAACATATCTCGATGCAAAATGAGAGAAAAGAGGCTCATTGTAATAATAATAATAATATTTAATACTTATATTGCGCTTTTTCTATAAAAATACTCAAAAGCGCAAATTATGTAACGGAAACTTAACTGCTGGAAGAAACACTTGATTTCAGTAAAAAGAAGAACTACCCAGTGTTAAAAAATTATTGCGTCATTGTGGCGGGAAAACTCGTCACGTGATCTGAGAACTGAGCTTTGCGTCTTAGAACTCTGTGTAGTCGTTCGGAGTCGTGGATCTGATCAAGTGTGTAGATTGAGTGTAGATCATCGAATTTTTACTGAAATTGATGTCAATGAATCCTTTAACTGTAGAACAGAGTAAAGAATTCTAAAATACGAACATGTGAAGAAATATGCTTTCAAGGGAGTGAAGAATTAAAGGTACAGAGAACTGATTGTATCACACATAATTTGTGACACTTAGGACGCCCTCAACATGCTCAGCCACCATACTTGGAATATCGCCCCTAATATTGAATTCTTTTACAGGATTCCATAACCTGAAACGAGACTGAATTCCCATACAAGGCCCATGTCAAAGAGTTATCACGGACCGTTCTATTTTCAGATACATTTTAGAGCACTTTTCCCATCGAAAATGGAAGCTCCACTAGTGCACTTGAGGCAAAATAAGAAAAAGGAAATCTAAGGTCAAAAAATATCATTTTCAGGTCTGTAGCTTATCGTTACTTGTTTGTGTGAGAACCAAGACTGTTTGGCGGGACTTTAAAGATATAATAGATTCGCGCCAAAACCGCTCTCACAACAAGGTCGGTAAAAACACCGTGACACGAGTACATGGATGTTGCTTTCTCCGGCCGTTACGAGCTCCTGATTCTTATCAACAATGTTATAGTATGGGGGCTTATAGAGTGTTTTCACTCACTTGGCCAGTAGCTGTGCAACCTGCGTATTTCTATCGGAACAAAAACGTGTTCTGAAGTGATCATGTTCATTCAAAAGTATTAAAGAGTGAAGCGCAGAAATAAAAAAGGAAACGAACATCCTTAACGTTTAGAACTGAGGATAAAGAGCAAATTCATTTTTGAACAGCGACGGGCTGGGTTTAATACTCAAATATGGGTTCAGTTCTTCAGAGCGCGATCCTAAGAAGACTCGAGCTCCACGAAGTAAGGATCTCTTATCTATAATGCTACTAAAAACAAACAATCAGTTTGCCAAAAAAACACAATTTATTTGTATTATTTCGCACTTTTTAAATCTTTGCCATCCATTTTCCCCCAGTTAAGTTCATATAGCTGTTTCTGCACTTAGAGCTCGTTTTTCAGATCCTGAGCTGATCATGTAAGTTTACCTGCAGACAAATGGTGATAAGAACAATTATTCAACTTCAGTTAGAAGCTAAAAAGGCTGTTTCAGTCAAATTCTCATGACTGGGCAGATGAACTGACATTATACGTTGTAATAAAATACTGGGTGAACAACAGTAGAGTAACAATAACATTTGGAATCATCAACTACAGCACCTAAGTGTGTAATTGCGACTGAACTAAGAGTCAGTCACGCGGGATCGACTGTTGAGAAGAATCAAGCCCCTTCATTATTGGGTGACTATAAAGGCTGCCACAATCATGAAGAAAAAGAAATGGAATTTTAAAAGGATTTCTTTTCTTACGCAGCGTAAACGAAGTTGGCTGCGCGTCTTTTGCCCACACCAAGTCCTTGCTTGTTCATAATACAGCCTTTGGATCCACCAAACTTCTTGAAATCTGCTACCTTTCCACTTGCAGTTGTAACACATATATTGACTTTCTAAGAGGCAAAAATAACTCCGGTGAATTTAATATTGCATCCATAAATGCATTATTCGACCGTATACCTATTAAACGAGTCGCAATTACTAACAGTGCGTCCGATAGGGAAGGGAGTGGGGCGAGTGATTTCACTGCATTGTCATCCACGTGATGAAGCAATACCTGAAGACTCCGATGAAAATTTTTTCGGGCTAGCTTAAGGTAGCGTCGAAAACAGAGGAAAAACTCGATAAGTAGAAACGCCATTAGGACTGCGCGTTGCCGACGCAATCGGTTTACAGACACAAAATCCATCTTTTCTTGGTAACTTAAAAGTAAACATAGCCAAACTCAGGGCTAAGAAAATCTGGAATACTGCACTTATTTATTCTTAATTTGAGCTGCTACTTCCATATTATACAGGTCACACGGTAGAAGAAAATGCTGCTAAATGTTTCAGTTCTCAGTGTTGCTCGTTCCAAGGAACAGGGACGCCCCCGGGGGAGGGGGGTACTGTCATATATGGGCTATATCGGTTATGTGCCGCTGTGAAGGGTATGGTTTTCAAGCAGTTTACTCTAGGAAACTGATCAGTTGGTTGGTTATCTAGACTAGGGATTGTGGTAAAAGGTTTTGTTTTGGCTAGACTGTGGTAGTGACCTCAGTAGTTTCTGGAAAACAGCTACTATAGGATAGAGGGGATTTGGGGAGTTTACTCTAGTCTTGGGTAGCAAAATTCAGCTGAACTAGCTCTGGTATAGGTTAAGGGTTCCAGGGTTCCAGGGTCCCAGCGGCACATCCCCATCCAGAAATCCCATACTAACTCCCCGGGCCCTTAGAAAGAGATTGCTTAGTTCAATTAAAGCTCACGCTCCATTGACATTCAGACTTTAATATATATTAATTATATACCAAGACTTTCACCTGAATTGCAAATATTTCGTATCCTTCCTTCTCCGCCATCTCCTTACATTCCAAGAAAATCTTCTCCACATCCGGGTTCTTTCGGTCGACACCTTTGACTGTGTTGAACTTCTTTGTAAAAATCGTATCGTTCTTTCCTTTTCTGTCCTTGTAGCATCCTCCTACTTTGTAGTCAATAACTAGGACAATGATTAAGTAGCAGTTTAGATAAGATACTGAGAAATTTCTTTCCCCAGTGAGTTATTGTTTCAGTCGTTTTACAGTATCAGTGAATTTACAGTGATTAATTTCATTGCGTGTGAAGTGGTTAACTTCAAAATGTTAGTTCTCTTCTTTGCCTTTGGGATCAATATTTGTAAATCAATTGTAACGTTAACGGGACTCTGTTAAATAGTTTAAGATGGAATCCATCCGGAAACTGAGTAATTTTAACAGTTCAGTGGAAAAAAAACCTTGAATCAGAACATTTTCAGCTATATCGCATTCTCTTTTACACTTTTCAAGGGCTATAGATGTACTCGTAATTAGTCATCTGTAATAACACCAAATGACAATTTCTTATGGAAGCCCGAGAAAATACATTTCAAATTTCACAGGAACTGAAAAAACGCAGGTAAAATCGTCACGCATAAGATTTCATTTTCTGAAGTTTGAATCAGTTTGAAGTTTGTTTTCATGGGCTCTCGTAAGAACCTTTCCTTTGGTGTTATTTCACATAACTTATTACGTTTGTAGCCCTCTGAAAGTGTAAAAAAGAATGCAAGATGCTTGAAATCATTCTGGTACAAGGTTTTCGACTGTCCACTACTCATTTTCCTAATGGGAATCTTAGTTATGTCAGGTCATTTACTGATCAAAGGTTTTCATGCGCAAGTAAGTAGTACAGAGGACATCTCTTCTACGGTGTATGTTTTGTTTTCCCAATCTATGTTTCTTTCAATTACCTTATAACTTCATGAGGAAAAACAACCGAAGGAAACTGTATCGATCGACTCAATCGCTAAGACTTGCAGTCAAAACGAAACTCTTCAATAGCCTCGCTTTCACGTAACTAGACCCGGGCCGACCGAGAGGTCCGCCATATTTGCATTAGAGGTCTCTTCTGACACAAGAAAACGAGCCGGAGTTTTTGCGAAGCGAGAGTAGTCACGTGGTGTGGCCGATACGGGCTTCTAGTACCCTGCGAGCTAGGCTACGAGCAGTCTCTCTTTTTTCTTGGTCCGTCGAGCAAAAAGCCCGAGACACGCAAATGAGCACGCGCGTGACTGAATGCGCGAGACGAGAGAGGCACGACAACGCTCGCGCGCTCGTGCACTCCCCTTACTAAAGCTGTAGAAAAAGAGACTGTTCGCTGTCTACCTGCGAGCAGACTTTTTAAGCGTTTACAACTACGCGATAGACAAGCCACGCGAACGACTTTGTAACTGCGCTAAAAGCCATGATAGAGAGAAACCCGACTCTGCTCGCAGTGTAGGCTTCTAGTTGGTCCGTGATTATAACAGGAAGTTAACGACTTTTAATTCTTAGAGGTGGATGGCAACAGTTGACTCTTTGACATATAGTAAGCATCAATGTTCCCTAAACATTTATCCAGTTCGGCCACAATACCTTTAAAACAAGTGCATTTTTCCTGTTCCAAGGCGCATTCCTTTTCTACATTTTCAGGAATAACGTCTGCTGTAAGCCTAAAAGGAAACCAGTTAATATGTTAAAGGAGAAATAAAAAACTCTCTCGAACGCACAAAGAAAAAAAATGTTTTTTAGCAACGCTTACTCGATAAACCTCTCCAGAGGGCAGAATTCTTCACAGCCTGGGAGTGTCCATATCTTGGGTACATGTTGACCAAATCGATACAGCACACGCACGGACAGACTAGGTCTGAAAAAAATATTAAAGCGTGAAGTCAGTTCGACATAGAGGTATAAGCCGCGCTGCGAATTTAAAAATTTAAAGCAAACTACAAAGCTTCATTTCGCTAAGTAGTAAATAGAATAAAATGTTTTTAGCTGACAAAAATTAACAAAGCAACGTTCAGTAATTGAAGTCAATAATTAAAGTAACGTTGAAATCGGAAGTGATGTTTTAAAACATCCGATCGAGCTATCGATAACTCCGATAGGTACATGAAAGTGAAAACATGAAAAAATTTTATACCGCACGTGAGGCAAAATGGAATTGAGTAAAAATTTATTTAGGCCGGATATGACAAAGAGAAAGATTTTGAACTGATTGTCAGTTCTTTTTAAGACAGTCGTAATGTTTGGGTAGAAGGCATAAGATTCTCATTGGGCCAGCCGCGCGCACCAACAGTTATGGAATTTTTGCCGTATTCCAGGATTCAAGTGTTTTAGTTCTCATGCGCAAATTCTCTTGCGTTTGTTTAAAACGCCCTCTCTCCCTCCTTCTTTTACTCTCTCACACTTTTTTTCTACCTCGTTCGCAGTCGTTTTCTCTCTTCTCGACTGACTGAGAGCCCGGGACAGGCTGCCAGAAAGTGCAGTAAGAAAGCAAATATAAATACTTCCAAACTCCTCGGTATGGCCAATATCTTACGCATGTGGACAACCCTATCTGCCACGGAGAGCTATTTCCCCCTTATTTGGGTCCACCCTTGGGTCTATCGGCATGGCATCGCAGAGACTTCAAGCTCCTGTACGACAAAAGGCTGTATGCAGGTTAGCCTGAGACCAAGCTCCTTAGTACGAAAAGGGGTTTATAACTGGGCGAGTGCGACGAAAGGAGCCAACTGATTTCCCTCGTTGGCTCTTTGGTTGGCCGATATCTTGCGCCCCGTTTATTCGCACTTTTCCCCCGAATGAGGCCTGATTCCAAGCTACTTTTTAGTGCCCTACACTGTTGAGGAGGGTGCAAGGGATTATTTCAAGTGCGCTAGCTTCATACAACACATGTGGTGTAGCTGTTGTTGTCATATTGCCATTGACATATGGTACTTACTTTAGAACACCTTTGGCTGAACTGAACAGTTCCAATATGGCAGCACTAGAAAAATCTGGGGAAATGCCATCAAATACTTGGAGAGCACTCAGGAATGCAGAAACGGTGGTGTCGTGCTAAAGAAGAAAAAACATTTTCCTTTCAATAAACTGACAGTGCCGAACTGGAGACACAGAACCTTGAACAAACTTATCTGAATGCTCAAGACCAGCACCGTTTACCAGAAAGACTTCATGGCCTGTTAATAATGTTAAACTAAAGCACGTTTTTAAGCTAAAAGAGAAAGCCTAACAATGACGAGAAAATTCAAAGCCCATTTTACAGTTTGTGTTTGATGAAGAGGCCTTTGAGTTGAATAGAGGAACCAGGATTTATATTTTCCAGTGGAAAAGTTCTGAGGTTCGTATAAAAAAAAGTGCGTATGCAAAACCTCACAGAAAAAGAACCCAGAAACAACCAGATTTCCCAGTCATTAAAGGTACGTTCAAAAACAAGCAACAAAAACTTGCAACTTGTTTGCAACATTGCTGCAAAAAAACGAGTTGAATAGTTATGCAGCGCCTTTTACCACCCACGAATCAAGCCTGTCCTTGCAGCAAATCAGTTTTTTGAAGGTTATGAGAATTCGTTACAGAAAGTAGAGAGTAGTTCTACTTTTTGCAACATAAACTGTACGTGTTGTGCGTTTTACCAGCCAAAGACAAACTTGTTTTGCAGCAAATGACGTAACTTTTGTTTGTCACTGCCGCGTAAGCATGGTAAGTCAGATCTTAGAATTTAGTCAACTAACAACAACTTGATTTGTTGCAAGACAGGTTTGAACGTACGTGGTAAAACGTGAAACATTGCTTTCTAACTCGTTTTGCAGCAGTGTTGCAAAACAGGTTGCACATTTTTGTCGCCCTTTTTACCGTTGTCTAAGACATAAACGGTACATTACTTACAGCTGAATAAAGGTAGGCCTTTCTGACAGGCTCCTTTGGATTAGGCGGAGATAAAGCGAGTTTCATATTCTCAATCATTCTTCCTACCAAGGCACCTATTAAAAAGAACAACCAAAAGCGGTAGGCCAAAAGTACAAGGAACACCAGTGAAAGACTTCAGATATTAGAAAACAATGGTTATTTTTACACAATTTTTCCATGTCTCATTTTGGCTAGTTGAGGATAGATGACACTACATTCCAGAGAAAACAAAAACTAGCCTGAGCTGCATGGCTGGTGGTTTTGTTGGACCGGGAAGGAGCGTGAGCGAGAGGCGGAGCCGCGAAGGACTGGGTAAAGACAATGGAAGAACAAATGTTAATTTGCTACTTGAGAAACGAGAAAGGGACAGGACCGAGCTTACTTTAGCAAAGATTTCTGGGATTCTCGCTACAGTTACTAGGGACGGGACAGAAATGGCCATATATATTGGGGACTTTAACATGTCACGACGGCGACGGCGACGGCGACGGCGACGGCGACGGCAACGAGAACGTCAAAAAAGCAATAGGTTCAATAGGGAAAACAACAACTCTGCACGTGCATCACGCTTTTTTGTACATTTCTTTGCCGTCCTTGCATAACTACGATGTGAAATGACCAAATTTGGAGTTAACTTGAGAACGGGACCGGCAAGGCGATAAATTTATCCATCTCTCTCTGAACTCGGACGCTGTCCCCTCTCTTCAGCTCTTACCTAACTTTCCTCCTTTTAAGTAAATGGTGACTTCATATAAGGGCGAAAAAGTTTCAAAGGACGCGAAGTCTATTTTTCAGCGAGGTTTTCAATGGCGTCGCCGTTGTCGGATCGTATCCAACGACGCGGACAGCAACGAGACCGTCAAAAACAACAACTTTGCACTTGCATAACACTTTTTTCTACATTTCTTGCCCGTTTTTGCACGACTACGACGTGAAAATGCCTAATTTCGCGTCTTATGTTGGACACAAGCAACGACAAATTTTAAACAAGCAACGACAAATTTTATTTCTCTTTCTGAGATCGAATGTGGTCCCTTGAAATTCAGCTTAAGGAGGGTTCGCCTACAATTGACAAAGTAAGTGTGCAGGAATAATCGCTATTGAGACTGAAAGAACGCAAATTCACTTTTTAAGCGACGTTCTTGTTGCCCTCGCGTCGTTGGATGTTAAAGTCCCTACGAGGGACCTTACGAAACTACGACGGCGACGGCAAAACTAACGTCAAAAAAGCAATAGATTTAATGAGCAAAACAACAACTCTGCACGTGCATAACACTTTTTTGTAAATTTATGCCTGTCCCTGTACAACTACGACGTGGAATGACCAAATTTTAAGTCTACTTGGGAACGGGAACGGCAAGGCGATAAATTCTACCATCTCTGTCAGAATTCGGGCACGGTCCCTTCTCTTCAGCTCCAAACTAAATTCCCTTCGTTTAAGTAACTGGGCCCCTTGGAATAATCGCGAAAAAAAGTGAAAGGATGCGAAGTCTATTTTTCGGCGACGTTTTCATGGACGTCGCCGTTGTCGGATCGTAAGGTCCATTTTAGCTCACCGACGCGCCCACAGTAACGATCCCAGGGACGGGACCAGCCTCGTCCCCAGGGCGCTTTTCCCTGGCTTTGGAGAAAGCCACGGAAAAGCGCCCTGGGGACGAGGTTGGGACGGGACGCATTTCGGCTCCAATCCCTTTCTCGTTTCTAAAGTGGCCAATTGCAGTCGCGCCAGTCCCCGTTCATCCGCGGCTCCCCGACAAAACGGTCAGCTAAGAAGACTAGGAAGAAATTTGCTAAACAAACCTCCGGTGAGCCTGGCTTTTTCACGGGTGTTGAAATTCCACATCATGGAAAAGTCTCCCACAGTTCCAAGATCTTTGTAAGTTGTTCCATTTAGTACCCAGTCAGGTAGCGTCATGTTCTGAGATTCCTACAAACAATTCACAAAACCTCGTTACTTTTTAAGGTTGCAAGGATGGTATGATTCTGAAATACAAAAGCGCATGATCGGGATTAGGCCCTCTTTTGGAGGGGGGATGGGAATTAAGGCTTGGTTTAGGACAGTTCATAATCTCAGGAAGACTTCAGATAACAGTAATGGATGACTTACCTCAGAGATCAACGGATCTCTAATCAGGAAAGCATTTGACACTTCAGTCTTCTCTCCGCTCTTTTCGGAAACATAGTCCAGCATGTCCTGAAAAGAATGACCAGTCGTTTCGCCAACGTCCAATTCGCTAACATATTATGTCCTCACGTTACTTAAGAGGCGAAACAAGCGCTTCGCATGTACGTATAGATACCTCGTTCACCTCGCTCACTTTTTTGATACAAAAAAGTGAGATACACTTGTATATACCTCGTTCTTTCAGCCACCTATCAGGCGAAAGCAGTTAGCGAACTGACCTAACAAGTAAGCGAAGCGACTTAAGAAGTTAGCGAACAGGACGTTGGCGAAACGACTCGCAGGCAAAACGACCGTAAATCCTGAAAAGTATCAGCAGAACAGGATAAATAATTACCATGGTCATATTCATCATGAGGGAACTAAGGGAAGTGTCTGTTGCTGTATTCCTCTTTCTTTTACTTGTTTCTCAAGTCTTACATCACACGTGTTATCAGGTGCGTACGATTAAGGGCTTACTTAGCGAGGGATAAGACTGCCACTGACCTTATACTGCAACGACATGTTTATGTAAGAAGGCTGCTTTTTGTCCTCGTCACGCAGTTTCAAAAAACGTGGACACTTGTAATCAAACGGACGTAGAAGCTGCCAAAAAAGCAAAAACAGAGACCAGAGTGAAACACGCGCGCAATTTTGCTCCCACCGTTGCTTCACGTAAACAAAAGAGGCACTGAGTCGAGATCTAGCCGCTATCTGTCTCTCTTCATTGACAGGAATTCCTTAGTGGCGATGTGTTTGCAAGCAAGAATTACAGATTCTCGATATATCTTTCAAGTTTTTAAAGGTTCAGGACAAACACATTTCTCGATTTCTTAAACGCGTTAGGTCGAATTGAAAAAAAGTGGAAAGCCACACTCCTTGTTCGCCCTTCAAGGAATCCTTTCTACGCCACGCAAATCGTGATGCACTACAAATGCACTAAGAATTTCATCTGGGTCGATGTTCCTAGTATTATGATGGCCATGTTTTTATTTTCAGCCTGTTTCAAAGAGCTAAATACAATGGAAGGTATTCGTATTTCTAGTCCCGTTGATACCTAAACCAAGGTTTTCTCTTACGTAGTCGTCTTTCTTTGGCACCACATGAATCCCAATTGGTTGCCAGTCCAAATTATCACGCCATATCTGAAAATAGCAAAATTCGGTACAATTAGACTCGGTTTCTTGTTAACACTGGAACTTCTTTCGCTTCTTCAACATCCGTCGTCCACCTTATACGTCAAGCCGTGTTATCTTGTTTTTATCTCCAGTATAGTGCCCCTACATCTTAATCCTAAGAATGGCTAGATCTTAAATCCAGCGGATCAATATCCCTATTATTTCATATGTTATGACATCACCAAGGAAAATGCTAAAGTGTGTAAGGTCTCATTTGAATGGTCAAATCATAGGATGGATTTGGTCAGGCATTATTGAAGTTAAAAAGTACTCATCACATAGAATTGAACACCAAAGGATTTCATCATGAACCAAGTGAAAAATAAATCTTAAGAACCAGTGAATTAAGCCGGGAGGGTCTCATTTCATTGGTAACAAAAAATAGGATTTCGTTTACAGAGTTACCTGCATTTCTTTTCTCCGTAAGTGAAAGGGTGAAATTTGTCAACTGAAAACGACTGTGAAATCAAAAAAGAAAAAATGAAAAACCTGATTTCCACGAGGTGGATAGAGGCCGTTTAGCTGCGTCTGAGCACTCATTAAGCAGCGGTCCACATCAGTACTGCGAATATACAGCTGTTAAGAGAAACAGGCAGGTATATTAGTGTTGTAAATCATCACTGAAATGATCTTGTGGCGAATATAGGGGAGGGCTATAGTTGTGCGAAGGGCAAGGGCTCCGTCCTTGTTTTAGGTCAAGCGAAACTGGGGCTCCGAGATACTTATTTTAGGCCAGAGGGTTCTTATTCAAGGTACGGAGCTGCCGATATAAAGTATATACGTATTGACTTTTTTTTGCTGGCAAAGAAGAGGAGCCGATTACAAGAAGAAAAAAAATTAGGAGAAGGAGTTTAGGCCTTGCAAACACCCGACTTCCACCAGTTTTATTGTTTTGTTTGTTTGTTTGTTTCCTTGCTTTTGGCAGCTTTTTCTATGAATTTTTCTTTATTTATCTAATTGTTTATTTATTTTTGACAACTTCAGAAAAAGCACATTGTTAATTCATCGCCATTTCTTCTCCAGCCAAGGAGAATGGAAATCTGAAGGCAGAGTGAGACCTGGGTACAAACATTTTGGCTCTTGTAAGCTCTCGTTACTTCTAAAGAACTCCTCATGAAATGGTCATCTACCTACAAGACGTAAAAGTGTGAACAACATATGGCTGTTATTGATCTCAAGTCGCGCTTACCTCCTTGTGTATATAAGTTGAATTCAGTAGTTTGAACTCCTCCATGTATCGTTTCTTTAGAAACTTACCAAGGGCATATTCCTGGCGCATCCCTTTCTAAAATTGAAATTTTAATAAACGAAAGTAAGAATATTATTGTTATCAAGATAGTAAGCTAAAAACAAGACAATTCATTATTCACAGTTCAATGAAATAAAATCAAAACACGCTGTTTTCATTAGTCAACAGTCTTCTTTGTCCAGGTAAAGAAAGTATGTATGTATTCTGAATATATAGAAAAAATGCTGCAATGAATTAACAAATTTACTTCATCTTGTCAGAAATGAATCCAAAATTTCGCTTATTTTCCAAAGACATGGAAAGACATTTACCTTCGGCCTGTATACAGCCGCGCCCTTATTTCTCCCTGCGGAAAAATATTTGGGAGAGCCTTCCTCCCTGATTTATTTTGATTGGAGTGGGCGGCTGTATACAGGTTATCTGAAACTTTCAAAACTGACTGTCTTTGGAACAACTTTAAGTAAATTTTTAGACTATTGTATATAAATAATAGCTTAAATTATGTTAGTTATGTAGTATCTGTAAATGCCAGTCGAAAATTCCCCAGGAGAACTGTCCATACATTGTGTTAAAGTATCATCAAAGTATTTAAGATGTATATTGTAACAAATCAGACTAACCTGCGTTAGCATCCCTAAGCCTTGTGGCCAAACATCTTCTTTATAAGGATCATTTGGGTAGATATGAGTAGGAGAACGGTTGCCATGACGATAAACCTGCAGTGACAATAAATTATCATGATGATGAAACTAATACAGTGAAACCTCTTTTAAGATGACACCTTCGGGACCTTCCCAAGTGTCCGCTTAATAGAGCTTTGTAAATTAAAGTTGCGCAACGTTTGTTAACGATTTTATTCAATGGTTACTCTGTACTGTGATAAAGTTCTATGTTGTTTGTACTTTGTGCAAGACTTTCGCTCTAATCTACAGTTTATTGAGAGCTTAATGTATTAATTTATCTTTATTAATCGACTACAGTACCAGATATTTCAAGGATGTAATGCAATTATACTAATATTGTCAATTCAGTCCGGTGTCCGCTTAATAGAAGTTTTTAACAATAGAAATTAGCCAAATACAATTTATTTTAGCGTCCGCGTCCGCTTAATAGATGTGTCCGCTGAATATGGGTTCGTTATAAAGGGAAATATAAAACGTCAATTTCGGGACCTGGCTTAGTGTCTGCTTAATAGGGTGTCCGCTTAATTGGGGTCCGCTTAATAGAGGTTTCACTGTAATAATATTAATAATAAGCGAAGTCGCTATCACCCATGTGATGCTTTTCAGACGATTCCTGCACTGTAAAGCAGAAATATCTGTTTTAGCCCTTGGATTAAATTGTCCTCAAATGGCTCCAGGGGGTGGGGGGGGGGGCTGAATCAGACTTTGGCCAGCGGGGCTGAATTGACACTTTGGTGCTGAAACAGATCTACTTAATTTTCGCGGTGTGTATTAAAAAAGAAGTCCCTGGTATTCGCTAAAATGGAAAGCCTAAAACCTTTTATTACACAGCTAAAATAAACGGTTCACAGCGGAAAGGAAACAAATTTGGGTAAACGACAGTGTTACCAAGAATAAACATCGTGAAACAGTTTAAGAAACGAACAGAGGGCTGAAATTGAATATTGAAATTAGTATAAGCCTTGACAAAATTAATTTCCGTTTACTCGGCTCTTTTTCTTTTGCATTCAACAGATTAAAGCTAGAAGTAAGTCTTTAAAGTTTATGTCGCCAAAAAATCTTTCAAGAATGAAATAATGCAAGAATCAAAGTATCAAGGGCTATACTTCAAGCATCTTTCTATGATGATGTGAGAACGCCACGTCGTTCAAAGAATGTTGCCTGGGGAACCTGGGAAACTCTAGTAGACATCCTTTGAAAAAGTCACCTTACTTAGAACCAGTCTATAAAGGTGGGGTTGCTACAAAAAACGTCTCAGAATTTGACATTTACTTTGAACAAAGCGCTTTTATATGTGCGAGTTGGTCAGTGCAGTATCTAAGCTACTTGTATATTTCAGATCAATAGTGTTATCTTAACTCTTTGCTGGCGAAACATCATTGAATTGGATGGTGAAGTGTGTGGCTGACTTTTTAAAAACAACTGTTGCTCTGCGCCAGTGAACAAGTAAAAGAGAAAATTTGGCTTTATCAACAGGTGCTACCGCTCGCAATATCGTTCTCTTAATTAACCTCTCGAATCGTTCTTATTAGAAAAACTAGTTATTTTCATATGAATAATGAGAGTTTTTAAAGAGAGTTTAATTACACACAAAAAAATCACACATTCATTTAAACAATGACTTTTCAAAATATGCTTAATTTTTTTATTCTGTTTTTCAAACCTCGCGCGTATTAGTTGCCTTAGTTCGACGTGTCCACTGCTCTCGTCAAAACTCAAGTTCAAATTCAAAATCTTGATAATATAATATGACCCCTTCACTTTTGGCCCACTTTCCAGCAACATCTATTTGATGAACCCAACCAGTTAATTGAAAAGGTCCTTCAACCGTGGTAGAGACGGCGAAAGTCTCTTAGGCCATCCCCATAAAATGTTGCGTTTCCCATCGCCCGACCGACCCATTTTTTTGGAAAAGTAAAAAAAAATTCCAGAATCACTTGTAAAGAGGCATGTACTTTAATTTGCAAGCACACGGTCTTGTCTTATTAACACCAATTGTCTTAAATTATTATCGATACTTCGTTTTTGTAGCTTTTTTAGACATTTGATAGTCCTGTTAATATACATCTTTTACCATCTGATTCATCTTGCAGACTAAACGTGAGATTTAATATGCAATCATGTGTTCATTCTTTTTTTTTTTGCCCGACCGACCGACCCACCTTCACGAGAGGGAGGGCGATGGGAAACGAAACATTTTATGGGGATGGCCTTAAAAAAAAAATTAATGCATTCAAGTTTAAAACCTTATCATTCTTATTCCATGGCGTTCAATTTGTCAAATGATTGTGAATTGTTTTGAAACTGAATTCTAAAAGACTGTATCTAAGTTTAAAGAAGAATTAGGAAATTCTTGTCTTGTGTTCACGACGCCCAGAAATTTAGGCAGTTTCAAGTAGTGGTCGTGCAAAGACGACTAGCAAATGTACAAAAAAGCATGAAGCAGTTTATGCAAAGTTCTTGTTTTGCTTATCCAAACCTCAGTATTGCTTTTTTTCCCGTTCTCCTTAACGTCGTCGTCGTGTTGTTTAGCCTCCCTAATGTCGAAATAGAGTGAAAGCTGAGCGTGCCAGAACAGCTTTTGATTTTAAAAAATCGATACAACTTTTCGTTTGATAACGAGGCTACTTGAACACGTCTCGGCTGATGACCTTTTCTGTCTTATTCATTTTTCTTTTCTTTTTTCTTTTTTTTTTTTTTGGAAGAATGCCGAATGGGTTCAGAAGCAGTTTCAAATGAGACCAGAACTTTACTCAAAATTCAAATGCCACTTCACAGAAACCCACCCCCACCTTTCTTGAAAAATCGGGTGCTCATACTTCTACATTTTATTTGATTATGTACAATTTACCAGTAATCAACATCTTCAATACCAGTACCAGGAAACCTAACCCAAAATTTTCATGCTTAATCAGGAATCGTCGTCATAAACTGACCTTATTTAAAAGTTCTCTAAATTCGGTTTTAGAAAACTATCAACAAAGTTTTTTTCTATCAACTTCTACCTAATAATTACGGTGCACTAGTAACTTCCTCTTGTAACTAATTCCCCACTTACTGCGTTCATCATGACAAGTTTTTTCACATCTTTGCATGCAATTCCATTTAGCTGCAGCAAGCAAACCGCCAAACCAGCTAAGAAACAGAAAGAGAGATCAAAGCACCCCATGACGGTATATAGGTCTGTGTTCCGCGACAAACAGTTAGCTCTATGTGAATGAGCAACGTGGCTGCAAATGAGTTTTAACCATACAGTAACGCTACTTTCTATACAAACTACTGAGTGTTAGAAATAAAATATCTATTTCCAGCACTTTTTCTATCAGAAACAAAAGGCAAGGTGAGTTAATTAAGGGACCGTTTTCAGTCGCACTTTTACCACCTATCATAAATGAGTTGGGCAACGTTCGCGTCGCTATGTAAACTTCCAACCTTCCAACTATTTTCAACATTGTTAAATAAAAAAACAAAGAATGAAGTGAGATAATTGCGGTTGCATTCTGTTGGGCTTTTTGTACCTATTCCAGTCATATGGCTGTCATATGGCTGACAGGGATCGTTTGTTCTGATTGGATGCCTCAGAGAACACGATGGGCGTAACAGGACAAGTTTTTGTTCCCTTTGAAAAACATTTATTTAGATGTTATTTCATGAATCACACATTTTCTTTTGTTATTCAACATCCTTTATTTAACTTACATACTTCATGAATATTTAACTAACTGAAAGTCCGCGGAGGGCTTGATAATGTAGCAGGGAAGAGCGGGGCTGATGAATTGAATAAATTGCTAATTATAAATGCAAGGACAATATCTATATAAATACCCGGGATTTATTTGTATATTGCCCTGCTGCCCTGGGCAATATACAAATAAATCCCTTCCATTTATAATGAGCAATTAAAGTAAATCATACACGTCCTTTGACCCCGCCAAACATTCTGAGAAAATTTCTCCCCTTAACACAAATATAGAAATTTATTGTGCAACTATAGAGAGTACAGTAGTATCCCATATATCATACAGGCTGTGTGTTCACTCAAAGAAAATTTTAAGTCTGATATCTCGGTGGCCCGTACACTCCATAATCAACTTATCTGAGATTCCTTTTCCAGTCCTCGTGTTGCTGTAGTGGCCCTCAGACTGTGATTGCTGAATTGGCCCTGTAGGTCTGCGTCTTTACACATTTTGCTAACAACGTTTCCAAGCTTGTTATGTCCAACAGGAGTCGATGTAAACCAAACTGCAAAAATTAACAGTGAAAATAAAAATATGAAACAAAACTGAAACTTCTAATTACCGTCTCCGGCTTGCGACCATTAAACTGACATTTTTATCCTCTTGCACCCGAATTGTAAATGATCTATATTTATAGGTATCATACCTTCATCCGTAGACTTGTATTTCTGTCGTGGAGTGAGGTAGAATACATTGTTTTCTAAAGTCTCCCACTAACTCTTCCAAATTCAACTCAGGAGAAAAAGGCTCCTGAGAGAAAGTATTTTGCGTTAGGAAAATTTCGTCGTCACTATCCATTGCCACTCTCACAAGTGTACTGGCCCCGCAAAAAATACCAAGACAAAAATTAAAAGACACAAAAGGTTTGAAATTTGATTGTTGTCGGCTTAGCAAACAAACAATGCGCTATTGTTCTCCGTTTCTCACCTAAGTGAGAACAAGTGGTTTGAACAAATTATGACCCGTGAAACACTCTTTCTCGATGCTGTGTGAAAACCTTTACAATACTTACAATGAAATACGTCTGACTCATTGTCTGCGGTCGGATCAAAAAATGACAAACAAACAGATGTCAAAAACAAGTGGCCAATTATTGCCCTGTGAAAGACGACCTTTATGTAACCTATACCTCATGAATAATATCATGAAATAAGTTAGATAAGTTGTATATGGCTTAATACCTCCGTTCTCGGGCTTTATCTCTTACTTATACTGAACAGGCTTGTTCGGTCAAGATGGGACTCTAGCCTGCGAAAACAGCCGTTTCTCCTCGCTCCTCGCCATTTAAGACGTTTGTCGGCTGCCGGTTTTCCCAGGTTATAAAGATACCCGTCGTATTCTTTTTTCTTCGTGTGTTTTAGGGACCTCAACTAAAACGCAATGGCTTGTCAATTGATCTCATGTACCCTTTAGTCAATAACACATAACACACTATCAATTGGTCGACTTATTGTACTAGGGATGAAAACGATTTATAACATAGCAAAAGTAAAGCGCACGCTCTGATTGGTCAATTAGGCATCTAAACGCCAAAAAACTGAGCTAGCGCGGTAATATAATTATAATTACAGCTATGGTTTTTCCTCAAAGAATTTACTCTAATATTAGAAGAAAGTACACAGATGCCATTCAGAAAATCAACAAAAAACGTTTTTCAATTTACCTTAAGTCGGAGAACGGTTGTTTCCGCCAGCGGAAAAGAAATTTAAAGGCAAGTTTTTGAAAGGCATGATTTGTTTACGCGCGGGTAGATGACAGCATACATCAACTCGTCTACAGTAGAGATGACTCAACCGAAGGCAAATGGAAATGTTTCCTCTTTTGATTATGTTATAAAAGAAATGGTAAACGTTGCAGCTGTGGAACCATTGAGTTATGGATGCACGTGGCAGGTTGCTAAGCACTCAAAAAGCTAGAGTTCCACTCGGCTGTCGCCTCGTGCAACTCTTACGCTTCTTTCGTGCTTAGCAACCTCCCGCGTGCAGCCATAATTCGATGGTTGCACCCTGCACGTTAACCTTTTCTTAATTTTAAAGAGATGAAAACGTGTTTGTCTGGTTCACCACGCTAAAAAAACACTTAAGACCGAGGGGACGGGACAACTTAGAAAACAAGCACTTCCCAGCAAAATCTCAGCGCCAGTGTCAATTCGAAAACACTGGATGGAAAATATAAATTGTACACAGTGTAGCACTGGGGTTCGGGACGGGAAATAGCGATTCTACCTCCCTTCGTTTAACGCAACACAGCATCCCAATATTGGAAAAATGTTATACTGAACTATTCGAAACAATGTCGCAACAATGGTGTAACAATATTGCAAAGCTGTGTTGCGCTAAAAATCGTTGTTGAGAAAACGTGTAACATCACCTTTAAAGACAGCAATCTTCGTATGACCTTGAAATGAAAATTTTAAAAAAAATCCTGTTTGTACATTCGCTGCCGCGCGGTCTATGCGTTTCAGGTCACGTGGTCTGAGCGAGTTTGTCTTCCCGCCGTTCGTCTCGTCTATGTCACCGAAATGCATTGACCGAGAAGGCCTGGGAAGACAAATCGTCACTGAATAGCTGAAATGTGGCTTGAAATGTTTTTGCTCACATCACAATCTTTGATTGCGGTTACGTATATGAATAACTACTTTTAAAAAAATGGACAATCGATTTGCCAGACAAAACCCATTGTTTTATTAGACAACATTTAAATTTTTGCATCCAGTTTCTCTTGCAAACTCTTGATGGTTGCTTGCCCGTTTTTCACATCGGCTGATCAAGTTGCCAAACACAGTTTACCTACAAATCACTAAACAGAAAACATTTTCTCAACTATTAGAAATTAGAAACTCTGTCAGTTCAACACCTTTTAGTCTGAGCTGACTAAGCTAAAGAATTGACATTAAAGTAATAAAGCAGCTAGAATGGATGATCAAATTGTACAGGTCCAAAATTACATAACTGAGATCATGGAGAAAGACTAACCAGCTCGAAGTACAATAATTAGCCTGTGTTCAGACGCCCCCCTCCCCTAAGTAAAAGACTCGGGAAAGGGGCGTCTTACAGGGGACGGGGGTGTCTTTACACAGGCAAACAATAATCAAACTGAAAAGATGGTCTGGTATACGATAATCACAAGAATCAAGCTATTAGTCGTTATCAGTGGGAGCGAATTGAGAACGGGTCTAACGAGATTTAAGCAGAATCTGAAGAGTGCCTCGTTTTTCAAACAGTTCTGTCCCGGTTTCGCAATTCACAAAAAGTTAAACCAAAAATGTCTGGCTTGCAGCCTCGCTCAGTCTAATACATGAACCTCGAGTTTACCGTTTGCTACCCCTATTTCAGGCTGACTAAGAAAGCCTGGCAAAAAAAACTATAAAACTACAAAACGGTCTTATTTCTTACGCGGTGTAAACGAAGTTGGCTGCGCGTTTTTTGCCCACACCATGTCCTTGCTTGTTCACAATACAGCCTTTAGATTCACCAAACTTCTGGAAATCGGCTACCTTTCCATTTGCAGTTGTAACACACATATTGACGTTCTAAGAGACAAATTTAAAATACCTCCTGTGAGTTTTATCTTGCATCATAGCAATGCTTCATTAATTAGCAATTATTGCATTAGGCTATCGTCATGTTATGAAGAATTTTGCATATTGCATATAGGAGGGTGTTGTCCGCCGAGGCCCGAGTAACACCCTCCAAGTTGTTATTCTCCCGAATAAAGTTATGGCCCCCTCAATAACGATCCCCCGAGAGAAAAAGGTTAATAACAATTAATTCTTACCATGCGCTATTTCAAATTGATTATCACAAACATTTATGCCAAACTAACAGCGACATTTTCGTAATAGCTAAAATGCGACAGCGACAACTTATCAGGGGCAGATTTCTGAAACACAGTGCATAAATGCTTGTTCTATATTGACCAGTTACTTAGAGATACTTAGTTCAGTCTGAAGCTCAGGCTCTATTGACAGGGGCGGATCCAGGAATTTTTTTAGGAGGGGGTGCACTCGTCTCTTGCTCTACTTCAGCACCAATGAACCACATAGTTTTTTTTTTTTTTGCAGAATACCAGTTGTATTAGGAAACCGCAGGTCATCTCAGGGGGGGGAGGTGCGCACCCCCTGCACCCTCCCCCTAGATACGCCCCTGACTGACATCCATAATTCTTTAGTATATATCAAGACTTTTACCTGAATTGCAAATATTTCGTAGCCTTCCTTCTCTGCCATCTCCTTACATTCCAAGAAAATCTCCTCCACATCTGGGTTCCTTCGGTTGACACCATTGACTGTGCTGAACTTCTTCGTAAAAATCTTCTTGCTCTTTTTCTTCGAATCCTTATAGCATCCCTCTGCATTATAGTCAATCACTGGAACGAATACCGGAGAACTATAGATAAGCTACTGAGAGACTTTCTTTCTCCTTTGAGTTCATCTGTTTTGCAGTATGGAGTTACAGTGATAAGCTGTTAGGTTAATAGTGTAAAAAGTGGTAATAAAACTTCAAAAGAGTTCATTACTAGCCATTTTTTTTGGAAGTTAAGTCAGGTCATCAGTTAACTGAGGCTACCCGAAGAAGAAATAGCTGAATGTTGTGACTACAGTCGAACCTCCACTAAACGGGCCACCTCTGAACAACGGCCACTTTTTTTGGCGGACACGTCCATACATTGATCCTTTTTCAAACCTCTCTACGACGGTCACTTCTTTCTGTCCCCCAAGGTGGCCATTGAGGAGAGGTTCAACTGTAAAACTGAACGGAAAAAGCAAGAATACGCAAAACATATTGCTCGATGGATGCTATCTGCTTTCATAGGAGTATCTGCAAGAAAAAAATCTGCGTTTATGTCCTGAAACTGTAACGAAAAATGGGCCAAAGTTTAGAAGAAAGTCTACGGGGAGCCAGGGAAGTAAGCTTGTTAAGAACTGAAAAATATTTTAAATGAATAATAAAACTGAATTATTGAATTCGGATGTCGTATGACGTGAGAAATTTTGCAGATCTCAGTGGATAACATCCTCCTTGATCTGCATAATTCTTCGCATCCAACTCAGCCTCATTCAATAATTGCTCATTGTCATATGAGCTGTGTCTGACTAGCCCTAAATTACAATACCTTTAATACAAGTGCATTTTTCTTGTTCTAAGGCGCATTCCTTTGCCACATCAACGGGAATAACGTCAGCTGTTAACCTACAAAAAGAAAACAAACAAACTTATTTTAGACGTACGAACCACTGAAATGATAAGTAAGAAAGTAATAAGTAAGATTCTTTATTTTAACTCATTAGTATTAACATACTTGTGTGATCTGTAACAAAACCATTAATTAAGCTCAGTACACCTCCATGATGCTAACACCAAACTTAGTACATACCGTTGCACACATGGATACTTACTCTATGAACTTTTCCAGTGGGCAGAACGTGTCGCAGCCTGGTATTTTGAGTATTTCGGGAGAAGTTTGACCAAATCGATACACCAAACGCACAAAGAACTGCGGTCTGAAAATAACGAAATTTGTAAGGTAATAAAATAATTGTACTGATGGATACTGAGGAAAACTGTTTTTCCTAAGAAGTGTCTCTGTGTAACCAGTATTGCATTGAAAGATACTACGGCAGTAAGAGGTTTGTGCTGACTTCCACCTAGTTGTGTTGTGGATATTTTTAGATGTTAAATGCAAGAAATTCGCTGCTTTCAAATGCCCATAATACACCTTGTTTGCGCCCCCCCCCCCCCCCAAAAAAAACGTTTTGCATAAGCATTGTTTCCACTTTCTCTTGGGATTTACAATCCTTCCGAGAGAATTTGAAAACAATACTCCTTCTGCAGAATTTTTGGGGGTAAGCAAGGTGGAATATGGTTATTGTGAAAAAAAGTGAACCAGTAAAAGCATCTACGTCTACAGATTTAGCATTCCTTTTCCTCGGCATTTCGCCTATATTACTCAACAGCCCCAGCGCGCGCGTAGCCGAGCGGTAAGAGCGCTAGACTTGTAATCCGGAGGCCACGACTTCAAGTCCTGCCCCGACAGCCTTGACTAGATTTGTTCTAGGTCGCCCTGAGTTCTACTCGGCCACTCTTGTCGCTCCACTTGGAATTACAGTTGTAAAGATATTCTGAATATTATAAATGAATAATTATTGAATTTTGCATAATTCTTCATATCATACTTAGCCTTATTCAAAAATTGTTAACTATTGTGTTCCAATCGAGATACTTACGTAACACTATCGTTAGTTGAACGGAACAGTTCCAATATGGCAGCGGATGAATAGTCTGGACAAACGCGATTGAAAGCTAAAAGGGCACTCAGAAACGCAGAAACTGTAGTGTCGTGCTGTAAATTGAATAAGATGACTCCGTCTGCAGTTTACAAATTGGTTTGTAAAACCCATTTTTGGTTCCAAGAAACTGAGAACGTTACTTTCAAGTTACAAAAATGAAGAACTTGAAGATCTAATGAGGAGTCATTTATTTACGTCGGGGGCTGTAATCACCTGTAACCCCTTGTAATCCCCAGGAACTCCCTGTAAGCCCCAGTAATCCCTTGTAACCCCCTGTAACCCTTGTGACCCCCTGTAATGCTCTGTAACCCCCTGTTACCCCCTGTAAACCATCTGTAACCCCCCGTAATACCCTGTAACTCCAGGTAACCCTTGTAGCCATGTAACTAACAAACCCGAAGCCGACTATATTTACAAGGCCTGGTTACTTTTTCTAACACGATTTCAGCATATCGCACTTATCCCACAGACAACTGCAACTTCCACATTATAGCGACGATTGGCGGTGGCCTTCTCTTAAATGGATCATAAAAACGGTTAATTCTGACTTACAGCTGAATATAGGTAGGCTTTTCTGACAGGCTCCGTCGTGGTATCAGGTGGAGATAACATAAGTTTCATGTTGTCGATCATTCTTCCCACAAGTGCACCTACAAATTTGAAGCAAAAGTCTCTCGTGAACGCGCGCTGTATTGAAATCTCATAATAACCTGGATTGCTTTGAAAGAGTTGTTAAAGTGAACCCCTGCAGGGAGAAACGGATTGGCTACATGAATGAAACCAATTTTGTGCTCCAGCAAACACAAAGTATTCATGGCCGTCCCTTAAGTTGTTAATTTTCATTACTATTTATTGAGAGGGCTGACTTTCTAGCCCCACGTGACCATCTCTTTCTTTTATAAATTATCAGTCACATTGTTTCATTCAGTTCTGAGGAAAAACGTCCAGTAAGAAAACAAGGCTGGCTCATTTAGAAGTAATTCATACTGTTTGAATTAACGGAACTATTTATTTTTAGGTAACCGCCAACTGATTATAGAATCATCAATCAAAGTTTTGTAGCGGAAGGCCCGAGATCAATTCCAAGGCCAGAAACGCACTCAGGTTTTTAAAGCAGTTGAGTTGGATCTGCTCCTTTCCTTCTGTTTATTCTGTAAGTGGTTAGACATTATTATCAGCGGATTATATCCATCTCACATTAGGAAGAAAATCCGCGCGCTCCGTCCAACAAAATCTCACAGATCTAATTCTTGTGAGACGTAAGAGTATCCACACTACTGCTCGGGTTAGCAGGTAAAAGGCAAAAACAGTTTTAAAAAATTGTTCAAGACATACCTCCAGTGAGTCTGGCCTTTTCACGGGTGTTAAAATTCCAGTACATTCCAAAATTGGCCACAGTTCTAAGGTCTTTATAAGTTGTACCGTTATTGACCCAATCAGGCCATGCTAGGCCGTGAGATGCCTAAAAATACCAAGAGTGTACCTTAGTAATTTCTACTAAAGTTGCAGTCGGTTTCACAAAGAATTTCTTCGAAAATAGACTGGGGCAAACTGGACCAAGCCCCGAGCCATGGACTTCAGATGTCAACTCCATTGGGTTAAATAGTCCATCACAACCTTTTCAGGTCTCTTGTGCAGCGATTGCGCAGCCTTTAATTAAAATTTGTCACCAAACGCTTCAAATTAGCAGGCCTCCATTTGGGGAATATCGCGAGAAGTCACGCGTGAGTGACACACAAGATGAGACGCGAAATCGAGGGGCTTCGCTCACCACTCGAAATGGAGAGTCTGCAACGACCGGCACCAAAACTGCTACTCAGGGAACTATTACTCTAGCGATGTTATGTTCTCAAGCGCTGTTTTTAAAATACAACGAAGGCTATACCTACCCTTTCAAAAAATAAGAATGCCAATAAAAAGAGTAATGCCCTTACCTCCGAAATCAGCGGGTCAGTGATCTTGTAAGTAGTCGAGACGTCAACTTTTTCTCCTGTATTTTCAGAGACATAGGCCAACATATCCTGCAAAAATATCAACAAAGGAGTATCGCTGAGAATCTATTGCTAATTGGCTATTAACTAGAACAGCGTAGTAATTTTACATCGCAGTCGTACAGTGACGGACGTCCAAAAAATGTTTTAAAAAAGTGCGATACACGAGCAGAGTCGTTGTTTTGCTCATAAAATCACTTAAATGTTTTGTAGAAATTCTTTTTGCTGGGTCGTTGTCATTGTTGTAATTGCGTAAGATCACTAATAGTTGCTAGGCAGGGTATTGTTTAAAGGGCATGGAGCACCTTTTCTGATATTTGTTCGATTGTAGACTGCTATTGAAGTAATTCAGGATTGTCACGCGGGTAAGAATGTTATGTGTGAGCGAGACAGGCAAACGCGCGAGGGAGAAGAAACTCACTCGCTCGCGCAAAACATGCCCTCGCGTGCCACAATCTTGAGGGACAGCTAACAGTCACGTTTTACTACCTTACAAGCTGATCATGTAAAACTTGCGAGAGATTCTTCATCACCCTCTAGACGAGTTAAAAGGCAGAAGATTTATATGTGCCTAGTTACTGAATACTGAGAAGAATTCCTGTCTCAAATACTTAACATCCCAAACGCAAGGCTTACCTTATATTTCTTTGACATTTGAATGTATTCAAGTTGCTTTTTGTCTTCATCATGCAGTTTAAAAAATCGAGGACAATTGTAGTCAAACGGCCGGAGAAGCTGCAATAAAACGTAGCGCCATATAAAGTCTATATAAGCTGCATCAGGAATTCTCCTTAACTAACAGCTAAGACTAATCAGGATTTATCCCCGGATTTAACCGGTTATTCTTGAACACGTTTTCTGTTTTTTTAGCGTTGCTTTGAATTTTTGTTTAACAATCTGTACAGAGATCGGCAGACTTCGAGCAATTTCTCTTTTTCTTCAGATTTAGTGACGGGAGTGCACGCGTGCGCGAAACGCAAGAAAAGAGGGCATTTGCGTGTCTCGCGCGTTTTGCTCGAGGACCAAGAAAAAAGAGAGACTACAGTGAGACCTGTATTAAGCGGACACCCTCGGGGAATGCTGTAGTGTCCGCTTAATACAGGGTGTCCGCCTGATACAGGTTTTGATAGATAACGTCATATGAGGTGTCAAATGCCATTCAAATGAACAGTGGAAACGTTTAGAATACTCCCAGAGACTATGACGATATACGTTTGCATTAATTTCTTTATTAAAGATGATAGTACCACAAACATAGATTGCAACTCAAATTTGAAGAACTGAGATGAGTGAAACAAGCTCTATAGAAACAAAACGAAATAGAAAACAACACTGTACTGTGAAAGTAATCAAATAAGTTCGTCAAGTCACGTTTTTTAATGTAAACATATTAACATTTGTGTGTGGCCCTACGTCTGTGCATAATTTATTATTAACCATTGAGTTGACGTTGTTTATAATTTTTAAACGAAGTAATATCGTAACTTAAGATGAGTGGCTTCAAACCATTTAAAACAATTTTTGTTACAAATAAACAAAGATATTTTGTATAAATAGTTTAATGATTAGAAAATTGTCTTTCTCTGTTTCGATGTTGAAACCAATACAATGGTTTTAGAAACTGCTTGGCCTCCAGGGCAATTACATTTGGCCCATAGCGTGCTTTGTGACTTTGTATCTCTGCGAACATGAGGAGGTTTTACTCCATTAAGATATCTATACCACCCATATAGACTGGTGGCTTAGTTTATAAAAGAGTTTTGTTGATAATTGTGCTAATTTGAAGTAAAATGACTTTAAAAGTTGTGGAATTCATAAAGTCTTATTAAATTTAGTGCGGGTGCCTGTATGACATTTGCCAACGGTTCCTTATGAATATAACTTACATAGTCATCTTTCTTTGGTACCACGTGGATCCCAATCGGCTGCCAGTCCAGATGATCACGCCATATCTTTAAATAAAAGATGACACACAGTCAGTCCATGAAGAGCGTACGAAGTCAAGGAGCCTACAGTTAGTCAACAGAGAACTACAAAAGCTCCTCCTCTGTCTCATGGAGTTATAGACAAGGACAGGATAACTTTTATGGGGAAAACCGAAAGTCTAAAAGTGCAAGTCACAACTACAGCAGACCTTGGAAAGTATAACATGTTGAAAGATTCTGAATTCGAAGCGACACTCGGAGCCTGTTACATGAAACTGGCAACTGCTGGCTCCATTCGCGGGAAAATGACTGGGTGCATGTTTTTCTTCTGATTGATTGAGAAGGTCGCACAATGTGTTTAAGCCAATCACAACGTGCCGTATAGTTCACCAAAGAAAAACCATGGACAACGATTCGTCTTTGTTTTAAAGCCTTTAATAAACAAAAAACTTATTTTTATTTACCTGATGTCCACGGGGTGGGTACAATCCATTCAGTTGTGTCTGGGCACTCATTAAGCAGCGATCCTTATCAGAACTTCGAATATACAACTACGCAGAGAAATGTAAGACAAAAAAACATAATTAACACTAGTGAAGCACCTACTTATACCGAGAGGAAAAAGTAATTGGTTTTCACAGGGACCCGAGTCATTGACTGACTAACCTAGAGTCACTGACTGACTAACCTAGAGTCATTGACTGACTAACCTAGAGTCATTGACCGACTAAGCAAGACACGTAGATTTTGCAATGTTATGACCTCTCAGACTGTTTTGGCAGGAAACAATTCATTATTCGATGTCAGGTGGCCGCCGATGACAGCGCCCTGTTATTGGCGAAATGTTTCAACTTTATAGCGAGGCTGTTTTAGATATGTACTTATGTCCCTAGTCTGAATTTCAAAATTGGTCTTTTCGCGTATCTGCGTATTGGGAAGGCCATGTCGCTGTCGGTGTTTTAACCAATCTTCACGTCGTTTGTGGCCATTTCATCTGTCCTAAATGTCGCTATTTCAAGGCCATGCCGCTTGTCAACTCTCCTCCCTATCTCGTCGTTGTAACTTGAATGAACGTACCCTGCGAGCAGAGGCTACATTTTCGCGGTATGAGCTGGCGTGCGAAAAGTAGCCTCTGCCGACAACCGTTCAGTTTTCTATCGTGCATGCGCTAAATTCGTCACGCGATTCGCAAGCAACTGGTTCGTCAAATCTGCGTGAGTTTCGCGGGAATCAAACTTGCGTAAACTACCTGCGAACTACTCTCCTCGAGCTTTTGTTTTGTTTTTCTGTTTCGCCCCCTCTGGTTTTAAGTAATTTAGCCCCAAAATTTCCACGGATCGTCTTTTTTAGGAAAGTATTTTTATGCTATCAACTGTAGTAAGTTCTGTCTGTTTTGCGGGGAGCACATTTTTCTGGCGTGAAAGATAAAATTCGCCGACAACGCTACGCAGAAGTGATGCTTGAAATAAATTGGATGCTGTAGTCTCACGATTGTGTTTTAAACTAATGTTATGAATGAACATAGACAAAACGGTAGTCCGTAAAATTATTTATCGAAAAGTTTTATTCGAAAACCCATAATTTTATCCTTAAAAGCAATTCGCGTAATACTAACTGGATCGTGGATCATTTCACGCAAGTAAAAGCTGCCGAAGACATTAAATGTCAACGGCAAAATCCGTCTCAAGTCGTATAAAACATCTATGAAACAACTATAAATACTTAAATTTCCATTTAAAAACGAAACTTCGTTGACCATTAATGTGCAAGTTGTACCTGAAAATTCTTTAAAAACTTTGCCGGCTTGGTTTCTTTTCAGAACAGGAGAAGCTTTCCACCGTGAAGAAACCAACCAGGTTGAAGTCCTTGAGGGCGAATCAGTGTTCAGCCAAAAGCTTTTTTTTTTTCTTTTTTCCACCAAAAGAAAACTGATCGATGATTCTTTTGAACATTCCGGTTCCCATTTGTGTCTTAAAACAGTGCATTTAGCCTTGCATTGAGAGGCGACACAACAAAAATCACCGCAGTATCCATTTTCTTTTCCTTACAAACAAGAACTACCATAATGATAAATTAGCGATCTTTACACGGTCCCGTAAGAAGCACCGGCAGCAGCTTGTTTTGGTATTGCGACAGCTTTAAAATACAGAGCTTATTCAAGTTGTTGACGACGCTCTTTTAAACACATAAACAGGGATGTTTGAAGTTGTTTGAACTTTTCCTGTTGCTACGTTCGAGCTATGTTGATCCGCGTTCGTATGCGAGAATTTGGCGCGAGGGGATGCATGAAGGCGCAATAATGGTCAGCGATCATTCGCTGACGCAAGACTCACGCAATGCTCTAAACCGGTCAAGAACAAGAAAAAACCCGTTTTTTTAATTTATTCGTCCAGATTTTTGGACGGATTTGAACGGTTGTCGGCAGAGGCTACTTTTCGCACGCCAGCTCATACCGCGAAAATGTAGCCTCTGCTCGCAGGGTAGAATGAACGTAGACCACCATGACTTATCCTCAGGTGGTTTATAACAACTCGCCCCATGTTAAGTCCTGGACAGCTCTTGGATTCTCGATTCCTGAGGTACTAGCTTCAGGATTCTTTGTCAGTGGAACTTGGATTTCAGTCTGACTCCATCGTTAGCGGAATTTCGGATTCCTTGAGCTGAATTCCGGATTTCATAGCACAGGTTTCCCCGGATTCCACAGCAAAAAAGTTGCTGGTTTACGGATTCCAAAAACAAAAATTTCCCGGATTTCCTTACTGTACATGGGCGAAAAAATCCATCAGTAGCTTTTGCGCCAACGTAAAATGTTACAAAGAAAAAAACCCTTTGGTTTGCTTACCTGCTTGTAAATATACGTTGAGTTTAGTAGTTTGAACGTCCTCATATATCGACTCTTAAGAAACTCACCAAGGGCATATTCTTGACGCATCCCTTTCTGAAATTAAAAATGTGCACTTTTATTCGCGCTTTGCGGTCGTTTAATAAACGCATATCAGCGTAGAATTTCTATATCATAACTGAACGGCCCTTATGCATGAATACGTCAGACGAGCAAATTTAACCACCAAGCCTCGTTTGCAAGCAAAATTCTTTGTATTTGCACTCCCCTTACGTCAAGTTGCCATGGTAGCAAAATTTCTAAATTTTAACAAACCAAGGGCCTGCAAATATTGTAGGAAAAAAAATTGACGTGAATGACTTCCATCGTTCGACGATGCAAATGGCCGTTTCTGAAAGAACGATTGTTGTGATCCAGAAATTTTGTTTCCATGGTAACGTGACGTCACACTTCTCGTCTCTTTTCGATCACCTGGAAAGAGAGTGAATTTCTGAGAACAAAAAGGAACCACCTAATAAGAGAAAAATAAATAAATAAATAAATAACAACAACCCCTGAATCATTTACCAGGAGCTTGGTACAGCACTTACGGTCTTACCTGGGTTAACATTCCCATTCCTTGAGGCCAGACGTCTTCTTGCCAAGGGTCATTTGGGTAGATGTGGGTAGGAGAACGGTCGCCATGACGATAAACCTGCAGCCAGACAAACAAGAGCAATTACCCCTTACGGATCCGCTCCTAATTAAATATGCAAAACCGAGTTATCTGTATAATGCCTAGTTGTCATATGACAACCAATCAAATTCCTGAACTCCTGACTTGGGGGGGTGTTGCCCGCGCATGCGTGGCAGGCGTCCATTCTCTAGTTATGGGCTCTAGAGCTTCACATTGTGACCCAGTCTCTTTTCGCTTTCTCTCTTAAAAGATCATGAGACAAGCATAATAGTTTCAAAACTTAAAAGGAGATACCGTGTGATACCGTGTTCTCAAACTCATTAATAATTCATAAAGAAAATACAAAGAAAATTAATGTTTAATGAGTGCTTGGAAATCGGATGAAAAACTGCTCAGTATTTGCATCCTTAATTTCTCCTTCAAAAATGATTTTGTTTGAGAAGAAATATCAAACATTCGACACAGTGTTTCATCACCAGATGAAACATCTCGAAGTTCGTCAAAAATACTCCGCTGCGCGTCGTATTTTCAACTCTCTTCTCGGTGTTTCATCTGGTGATGAAACACTGCGTCTCATGTTTGATATATTACTTCAAAACCTGGTCAGGTTGAGACAAATATGGTATTTTAGACAATAAAACTAAAAAAGATAATACAGTCGAACCCCGCTATGCAGGCACCTCATTATTACGGACAGTTTACTTTGTCCCTGGGGAAAGAAAGCCCATACATTTTCTCTAAATTCAACCTGCTTAATACGGATACCCGTTAATGCGGACAACGGACACTTGTTTCTTGCCGCAATAGACAGATTCTCATGGAAAGTCAACCTCGCTAATGCGGACACTGTGTGTTGTAACAAACCTTTACTTTGGAAGGTAAAAAAATCTCTTGTTGATAGCATGTCGATGTTCCAACCGCTTAAGTACACCGGATAGGAGGATTTGTAGACGTCAATTTTTAGTGACTACTTTTGTGCATCAAAAGAGGTAAGCAGAGAACGGTTTGGATTAATCAATACTATAGATGAGCGACTTTCGAGGGTTTCGGTGGATTACTAGTCCGCGGAATTACGGCTTTGTGAAGGTTAGAGATGTTTAATTTGACGATGCTAATGTCCTCTTTTATTTCTTTAGCATTTGTTTCTAATGAAAGGTGTTGTTTTATAACGTTAACAACATAACCTTAAGCTTAATACGGACACTTTCTACAGACCTTTCAGTGTCCGTATTAACAGGGTTGGACTATGTTGTCTTCGCGACAGAGAAAAGAGTTCCTTGTGGAATTTTGCAACGTAAGTAGGTTTAAAAAAACTACAAACAATAGAATAAAAAGTAGGAAGAATCTTTCCCCGTCTCGCGTTCCGGATCTGCCGCAAGCTAATCTTTCCAATTTTCAATTGATATCACGCGCTGAGGCGTTCAAATTATATATTTTTTAACGTTAGAAAAATTCCTTTGGCACATGGGTGTGGGTTTGTATCTGGCGAAGATACGATAAAGAGACATTATAATAAAACCTTGGAAAGAACTCACCGCATTCACCATTACAAGTTTCATCGTCACCTCGTCCTCTTGACAAGTAGCTGGACTCAGCAGAAGGGCTGAGAACCCAACGAACAAACAGCAGAAGAGATAACTGAAGTGCACCATGTCTTGTCGGTCCTTGGCACAGAAAGCTGACGGTGAATAGACAATGAGTCTGCCTACAGCGTTATTTAAGAGAGAGAAATTGTTTCTTGGTAACCGATGATCTGGAAAAAATTCCTTTGAATGAAGATATTTCAATTATACTGTGTTCTTATAGTTTTTATAGTCAGCTACAAAGCCTCATAATACTCCCTCTTAAGGTTAAAACAACAGGTGTAAAGGAAAGTTGGTCGGGTGTTTCAAGAAAACCCTTCGGGAGGGTTGATCGAGTAATTCTTTGTTCCATGATATTGGGATCAGTTTTCTTGACATAGAGAAACTGGTATCCTAGGCAATAAAAATGAGCGCCACACAGCCATGTTTGTTTCTGTAGCTTCAAGCTCCTAGGGGTATTGCTAGTCCCCCTAGATCCGATTTTGGAACATCTAAGGTTCACATGAGTCTCCTTATTGGAGAGAGGTGCTTTTGCGTTAGGAAAGGCGAGGCTTGAATTCACACATTTCCAGATCCTAGAGCTCCAGGCCCAGTTTGTTTAAAAGATGGATAGCGCTATCCACTGCCGTCAGGGATAGATTACTATCCAGTAGATAAGCATTAGACAAAACAGTTGCCCCGGGGGGGGTATTCCACCATCCAGTGGACAGAGATTTTTTTTTAGCAACCTGAGCCAGAACCCCATACGGTCTTTGCGCTCTTTTGCAACCTGGCATCCTCCTCCCCCACGTATTCAAATTCCTAGTTTCTGTGTATTATCACCTAGCAAACTTTTAAAGAATTCTAAAACCATTCATCCTTTTGTTTCATTATAATGCCTTTGCGATCTCTATTCACCATCAGATCTGATTCACGATAATATCGAATAATAATGCATTGTCGTATCTCAAGAACAGCCGCGTCCCGTGTAAAAAACAACATTCTTCAGATCTTCTTCGCGTTTTTTTTTTTTTTTTACAGCGGCCATTTTCAGTGTTAGAATTCGCAAGTATCGGCCTTCATTTATACTGATAAAACTATGTTTGCAAGCAAGATCACCATTTTACTTAAAGTTGATCAACTAAAATCAGAAACCCATAAGGGGTTGAAACGTGTAACTCGCGTTCAATGCTTGTGAATATTCATTTTGACCAATATTTGGAAATCTTAGTGACGGATATCCATTTTCAACAAAATGGCTGCTGAGCGATCACCATGCAGATGTTTTAAGACAAGAGTTCTGCATTTCAAGGTTAAAAATACACCGTTAAAAGACAAAAAATAGAAAGAGAAACTTCAAAAGAATGCTCAGCTTTCTTTTTGTGGAGAAAGGGAAGCTTTTCATCAAGAAATCGTCCTTCGAGGAATTCAAACTTGTTTTCTTCACGGCGGAGCCCATGGTCTGTTTTGAAATGCAACCAGGGAGGAGAAATCATGCTCGCCCGGGACAACGAAAATTTTCGTACCCACGGCGAGAATTGAACTCACGACCCTCCGAATACCACATCGGACGTTCCAACCACTGAACCGGATCGCGAGTTCGATTCTTGCCTAGGCATGGAAATTTCCTTTGTCCCGGGCGAGCATGGTTTCTCCTCCTTCCAAGTTGAAAATGTTCACTGGAAGTGTATGTGTGCTGCTCACTAGCGTATCATTAAAATTAATAAAAATAAAAATAAAATTAATTTACGTAACCACAAGATCGTGAGAAAAAAACAAAATGGCGGGTGAAAGTTAAGTGACACCGACTTATTTTATTTTTCTTTTTATAATCTGAGTTGGGTTTTTTTATGATCCGAGTTGATCCGAGTCCAATTTTATTTTATTTTTATTTTTTCATTCGATCCGAGTTGGTTCGAGTCGATCCGAGTTGATCCGACCCGGACTGGCGGTCCGAGTTGATCCGGTCCGACTTTTGTACCTGCCTTGGATTTTGTGTTGAATTTTGCCATGTGCTTAGGGGCATCTGGAAAAGCCGGAAACCGGAATCCGGAATAGGAACCGGAATGGGAACAGGAACCGGAACCGGAACCGGAAACGGCAACGGAACAGGAACAGTAATGTGAAGGGGAACCGATACAAGAACAGGGACATCACTTACTTTAAATTATTTTAATTCTAATTCAATTTATACAAAAACTAAGAAAACTAGTCTTGTATCATGCTCCCCCCCTCCCCCCCGAATCTCTTTATATTACGGCAACGAGAAGGTAGAAAAAGCCGCAAGCAACAGCTTTGCGAGTGCATCGCGCTTTCTGTCAATTTCTTCACCGCCTATGCACAACTACGACGTAAATGATCAAATCTTAAGTTAAATCTGAAGTTCTCTTGAACGGCAGGCGATAAATTTTATTGTGTCTTTCTGAGCTCGGACGCGGTCTCCAGCTTCATTTCCTAACCTTTAAAAGACTGGACAATTTGGAATTAATGAGAAATAGTTTGAATTAAGACCCGAATTCAATTTCTCAGTGGCGTTTTCGCTGGCGTTGCCGTTGTCAGATCTTAAGGTTCCTTTTGTCTCTCACAGAAAGGAGGTTCTAACATGTTAACATTATTTGTCAGACCATGTGTAAACGAGACACCCACCGGAGACGTTTATTGGGCTGCCATACACCTCAGGTTTGCTGCATAGACATATTGTAATGTGCTAAATTGGGACGTTAACCAGAGATAGATAATCCACAGCTTAAAAAGGGTATTAACACGTTTTTCCAGACGCCCTGTGCTTAGCCTATGTCACTTGCGTGAACGGATCCACGATCCAGATAGTGTTTTCCGAATTGCTTTAAAGGATTAACTTTCTGGACTTTGAATAAAAATTTTCAAGAAACGGCTTCTCTGTCTATTGTTTTGAGTTTGTTCATTCATAAAATTAGCTCAAAACACGATCGTGACTACAACATCTAAGTTTAATTTAAGCTTTTAAAATGCTTCTCACATTCATTACAAGCATCACTTTTTGGGAAGATGTCAGGTTCAGGTTTTGGACACTTTCGATACGCAGCTAATGAATTTTATTCGAAAATATTTTTCACTATTTAGTCTAGACTTTTAACATATGAATTTTAAAAGCCTATTTGCAGTATAAGTTTACGGTGCAGAGGGTCAACGAGGCATCGTTTTTTGAAGTGACAACTTCAAGAAGTTGCGAGGCCGTCAATGGGTTTCATAATGTTACGTTTGGGCCGGCTGGTAAGGCAATAATGTCCTGTTCAGTGTTTCGGTAATATTCCTGGTTTCAACCTTTGAAAGCTTTCTCGGCTTTCGGGAGTTTTTCCCCCGTTTGTCGGCCATTTTTTTAAGCGGGCGCGGGAACCTGAAGGAAAATTACGTCACGTTGTTTACGAAGTTTGATTGGTCAGTTATCTCTTCTTCTCGTTCCAAATATGGTGCTTTCTAAAATGAATAATCTCGAGCATCGGACAAAGCAAACATATGAGAGTTACACGTTTCAACCCCTTATGAGTTTCTGCTAAAATACAATACAATACATTTTATCAATTCTCCCAATTGGGTTTTTCGGAATTCATTTACAGGACTCGATAGGCTAAGTTTATGGATGCTTTCTTTAGAAGTTCCAGACTATACGGTGGAGCAATGGAACAGTTTGCTAAATACTAGGGAATTTAGGATTATGTAAAGGGCAAGTGTCGTACCCTATTTATTTGAACTAAAGCCATCCCCTTTTTTTTCGGTTTAGCGTCGAATGCGTTTTCTGATGTTGGGTCGGTCGGTCGGATTGAAAAAAAAACCTAAAAAAAATTCACAAGAAGTCTCGGAATAGTAGGCCCTGGTACCCCAGGACGACGTTAAAAGTTAACATTCAGATATTTGGATCAACAAAATGGACAATACGCTGTAAAAAATGCTCATGTTTTTGTTCCTGTTGTTCTCTGTGCTGTTACTACGCTCATTTTTCAGATTAAAAGAATTATTTCAAGTGAAAAATGGTTTAACTACGTCGTTACTTGTTTTTTTTTTGAAAATGCTAAAAATTTGGGTCGGTAAGTTACAGGTACTAGATCTTAAACTACGGAACTACGGTGATGTTACTGAGCAGCTTGGAGATAAGATGCCTCATCCAAACAGGACAAACTTGGTTTTGTCAGGATTAATCAAAAGGTGGTTGGCGCAACACCACTGATGCAACATGTTTGAGATCCCCAGCGCAGCAACTTGGCGTATAGAGGTGAATCAATGTCTTTTAAAAAAGCAAGTGATATGGAAACGGGAAGGAAAAACGAAAGAATGTTTCGTCTTTAGTTTTCTAATACAGTAATTTATTCAAATCAAAAGAAAACGGCGAAATTTCAATTTCTATTAACGTGAAAACGATACAGACTTCACTAACCTTTTTAGAGTGAGTGGAGTGAGATAGCCTCAAGGAGTATTTTTTTTTTTCATTAACAAATAAAAAGATAATATTAGCATATTTAGTTAATGCCGTTATCCGAACAAGAAAGCGGTGGAAATTGTAATAAGAATTTCAGCTCACACAGTGGACTTCAACAATCAACTCAAATAACCCCATAATCCTTTTACTGAAGCGAGAAATGATCCTCAATAACTCAGTGATATATTTTTGCCGGTGAGTGAGGAGGAGAACGTCATTCATATGAAGGCACGGGTTAAGAGAAAAAAAGGCGAACTGTAACTTAGAGCCTGTTTACATGGAGGTGGGGGACCCCGGGTAGATCAGGTATTAAACATGTGGCGGGTCACCCCACCTAACATGTAAACGTGATCAAATTAAAATGAGAGATTATGTGGAAAGGCGGGTTATCCCCACCTAAGCCGGTTACCTCACCTACTTGGGGTCCCCCAACTCCATGTAAACAGGCCCTTAGACGCGATGGCAGGGGCACATTCCCCTTCAAAATGCCGTCACGAGGGAATTTTCCTACAACAGCTCTCACAATGCTTTAGGGTCTTTCACATTTCCCATAATGCACCTTAATTGCCCCCAAAATTTTGCATAAGCGTTGTTTTCAATTTCTCTTGGGACGGCTCTAATACCCAAGAGAAATGAAAAACAAAGGTTATGAAAACTTTGGAAGACGGGGGGAAGGGAGGGGGGGCAAATGAGGTGCATTATGGGAAATATAGAAGTGGCTTAAAGGCCATTTCTCAGTTGCCCAAGCATCTTTTTCAAAGCGAGGTTAAGTGCAGAGCCATTGATTTATTTCTTCTCGTGCAAATAACACTAGTTTTCGCACTGAGCTTTGTTTTCAAAGTGAGTTTTTTGAAGCTCGGAAATGGCATATTACGGCCATTGGGATTAAAAAAATTTGAACAAGAAACGAAAAACAAAAGGGCTTCTAGCATTTGTTGTAAAATGACGTCACCTCTAAACGACCTTTTTCCTCAGAAAGGGTGCTTTCGATTACACGTATTCCAGAATAAGAATAAGCAGACGTTTGTAACAAATCTCTTCAACTGCAAATTTTTGGACCATTAGAATGTTACACGTTCAATAATTTAATCATTCTTATTGAAAGTGTCCACCAGACTTCTGAGGCCCCAGTTGTTCAAAAGGTGGAAAGCGCTATCCACCGGATAAATCTCTATCCAATGGAAAGTGCAATTGGTTTCCCTAATTCTTATCCGCTGGAGAGTGATTTGTCCGGTGGATAGCGCTATCCAGCGTTTGAACAATTGAGGTCTGGATTTCACCATTTTAGTCTATGTATTCTTATTTTCTGTATACGGTCAATATAACGCACCCTAACGCCCAAGGTCCCGTGACTACCGCCGAAAAGTGCCTGGGCACAAGGTAAAGCAGGTCCAAATTAACGAGATTCCGCTGGGCTTATTTCACTTCACTGAGGCATTGGTTTCCTCAAGTGATTCAGAATGCACTGTCTAAAGTCTGTCATGTGTAATGGGCCCTTTGCAGAATACGGTCATAAATTGGTACAAAAACACCTTACTGAACGGCAAGCGACAAAGAAGAGCAAGAAACACGAAGAGATTACATCAGACAAAAAGTTAATATCCTTTCTTTCCACACTCCCGGTGCGTCGTTTGCCATCCAGCAAGGTGTTCAAAGGACCAGCTTTCTTATGACGGTACTTCCACATATAAGCGCTAGTGTTTACACTCGGAGAGGAGGCTTTCCAGTTTGGACAACCAACTTTGGAAGGGGCTTATTTTCGATATTTTACAAAACAACAAAAACAGATCAGACAGCACTAAAAGTTATATTCACCATATTGCAATACAGTCTCTATCCCTAAGGTACATGAGGATGCATATGTATATATATTTTACTGAAGAATCTTACACACTACAAGGCCAGTATTCTACATTCAATATTGATACTCTCTACTATAAATGTTCTTTTTTTGTTCAAAAAATGATTGACCACTAGGTGGTATAAATCTCTCATTAAAACAACAGCCTGGCTTTATATAACAGCCTGCTTGCTAAATATGCTAAAAAATATAATTGCGATCCTCCCTTTTGCTCAAGGCATTTGCTTTTTGCTGATTGCATCTTGATGCAAAGATGCTTAAAAAAAACCAACACAAAGTTTATCCGCAAACATAAACAAGACAAGACTTTGGAAGAAAAATCGAGGACTTGGGACTAAACGTTTGTCCCTTGAAAAATGATTGCAATACTTTCTAAACAAGTGTTTCTTTGATGATAACAGAACAAGTACTCTTTCCCCTCTTTTATCAGGAAATCTCACATCTTCGAAAGTAATGAAATTAGAAAATGAGCAAAAGGAAGGTCTTTAGATTATCTAAGATGCAATCAAACAAATAATACACAAATCCTCGCCTAAATAACTGGAGGATAATTTAAGTCCCCAAAATCAGACGTATGATAATTACATCAAATAACAAAATATTAGCTAATAACTGTTTCTAAGCTTTCTAAGACACTATAGTGGTTAATTGGCACATCTGTTTTCTTTTTCGACACTCTAGAGTAGTATCCGCAAAACTTGATTGACAGCAAACATGCATTTACCAATCAGAGCTCTGTTCTCAATGAATCAATCACAAGCAATAAAAAACCTTGTGACTGAACAGTAGTAGTACATTTTCCCTCGCTTGGTACAGGATACACATTTTAGCCTAAAGTTTAGTTTCCTACGCAGCCGTTTTTGTCCCGTCATGCAACACTTCTCAAGAACGTTGCGTGACGAGACAAAAACGGCTGCGTGGGAGACTACATAAAGTTCTGATTGGTTTCTGCTATGGGCCTGACCTGGAGTTTACCGACAGGAGTAGAAAACTAACTCTTTCACTCCCAAAAGTGGCCAAAGTCAGAGTCAGACAAAAATTACAAATTTCATGTTGTGAAATGTTGAAAAACAGATAGTGCCATGAGGAAGTAATGACAAAGAGGTTTCGTTTGAATGGAAACACTGCAGGATTTGGTCCACAGACTCAAAAAGTTATAACTATCATTCACTATGGGAATGAAAGAGTTAGCAAGGTAAATAACTTATAAAAATACAATTATCAAACCAATAGGCAATATCTAGGACTGTGAACGTTTCAGAGAATCATGTTCGCAACTATTTTAGGTGAGCTCTAAATTGTTCGCAGCCACCCTGCGTTGACCAAATAAAAATACAAGAAAACAGGGCGCTGAAAAATGACTTATAGGGAGCTCACGCTTTTGTGTCTGAAACCTGCTCACATAATTCTTCACTGAAAAGCACTTCACATGTGTACTACACGCTTAAAGCACGGAGCTTAAAATCTAACTAATCGCTCCATGATCTTACAATCAAGTAAAATTGGACCTGAATAATTCTACTCTTATTGACCCACACAAATGATCACACTTGACAAAGTGTCTTGCTATTTCTTAATGTAATTGTAGCTACAATTGATTCGTTATTAAGGCTACTATGAATAACAAAGAAATCTGCTCTGCATATTACACGAAAATGACAGAAAACTATTGCATTAAATAAAACACATAATCGCTACGGCAACAAACACAAACTTGCTATACAACATGAACCAAGCCTTCTCAGAAAAACACGTCAGAAGAGACTAAGGGAAGAGGGTTCCACTGTAGTTATGAGTCTACATGGCAAAGAAAATTTTGAAAACCGTTTATCGGATATTCTTAATACTTTACTTCATTGCTTTGAAACAGTGTAAGCTACCCCCTTAAAAGCTGTTTATGTAAAAACTACCATAGAGTCAGCAAACGATCAAATTTTTGCATGTTTTGGCACTATAGCATGCCATGGACAAACGCGCAAGTTACCCAACCGTAACAAGCACTGATCATCCAAAATTTAAGAAGTACAAGTGGTTAAGGAAATCTGTTTCCTTATTTTTTAGACAGACTGTGATCTGCCAATATTACAACAATCAACATTTCCACACAATCCCAATTTTACTTTCCTTCCACAAAAAAGGAGTTGTTCTTATCATTAACTTACCGACACAAATGGACCTAATTCTGGTTGAACATAATTAATATGTTGTCTACCTTCCTCTCCACAAAACAACAAGAATTGCCAGACAGAAGTGACAATGATTTGCTTTTACTATCTCTACAGACTGTTATAGACCAGATTTGACATAGAAAAGACAAAACATTCCCCATCACAGAAAATCACTTTTCACAAACACAAATACATTGTTAAGTAGGATTACTGTTGAACACACACTTTTTGATGTGAAGGAAAGTAAATCTCTTATTTCACTGCTTTTTCCAAAGCAATTTTAACAAATGCCTCGGTGCCCAGTCTTGTCAATGAAATGTGCCAAGAACTGAGACCTCAGCTAAGAAGTACATGTGGTATGTGCCCACACCCTAATATTAACCCTGGTGTGGCCACCCCAGACAAAAGAATGCCTGAATTGGTGATTACATCTCTAACCAACTACCCTAATCACTAATGAAATGAACAAAAAATGCATGCCTAGTCTCAAGCCTATGGTAACAAAGAGTGAAACTATGATTTAACCCCCTCATATCACCCCAGTTAACAAAAACATTTAACGTTGCGCATGAGAGCTGTCTGAGTGAGCAGAAGTATGTAACCCTTTCACTCCTAAAGTGGCCACAGTAACAATTACACAAGAATTGCAAATTTCATTGTGCAAAGTGGTTCATATGTGAAAGTACTGCTGGAGAGGTTTCCTTACTCATCCAAAGTCTAAACAGTTAGAACTACCCAAAGTCTCCATCATCAGATTCACTCTGGGGTAAAAGAGCTAGGAACATTGAAAAATAATTTTGATTTTTGAATTCATGTACAGGATGAAAGGGGTTATAAGCTTAAACGACACACAATCACTTAAACCACAACATTTTGCAGCAAACCATTCTCAGAGACCCAAGAGTAGCTGATTCGAGTATTCCTTAAAGTACGTTGTTCAAGATGCAATGGAATGTCCTGCTTCTGATTGAATAAGCTGCCCATGGGTCTCCAATCAGGCTATTAAACATGCAAAATCATTAACTTGCAAGCCTTGCGATGTAAGATGCTGAGATACTCCTTGGAACAAACAGCCCTCACTTTGCCAACAGAGTCCTTTCTATAGTCTACTTAAATGTTTAAAATGAAAAATTCCAGGTCATCACTAATGAAATTACAAAAATACAAGGAAAACAACATTGTACACTTGACATTTTGAGAAAGACCTCTTCGTTCCAACTGCAAGTTTCAAAATGTCAAAATACATCACAAAATGGTTTTCAGAAGGGATTAGGTGTTGGCATTTCCTGATAACTAGACTATAGCCACTCATATAATTGGCAGATATCCGCCCATGAGCAAAATTGTTTACATCTAAAGTAACAAATACCTTATGCAGATTTACTGCGCTTTGGGTGAAGTCACGTTGTGATCTAAAGATTTCACAAATGACTTGTTAAGATTTTCTAGTCGGCTGTTAAACTCTTCCTGAATACCTGCAAATGTCTGTCGCAGCCCAGATGATGGCTTTACTCCGCCCACCACATCAACTTTCTCATCATCGTCAGATTCACTGGATCCATTGCAAACCTTTGATGACTTTCTCCTCCCTTCCAATGGCTCCTCTTTCGCACTATCAGTATCTTCTTCGTTATCACCAACCACTAACTCCTTCTTGACCACAACACCCCTATTCGGACTTGCTTTCTTGCTTTGTGTGGAGCTGCTGCTGCTTTCGTGTGACTGGGAGGGTTTCTCGGTTAAAGGAGAATGCCTTTGATCTGCTTCTTTTGACACACCATTCCTGGCCATTTCAGGGATTAGGCCATTTCGATGAAGGCTTCTCGCTGAGAACTCAGGCAGGTTCCTTTCACTAAGGCCAGCAGCTGCAGCACCAAGATCGAATGGCGAAGGGCCAGAGAAGGGAGAAGGATAGCCAAATGGAAACTTTAAAAAGCCAAGCCTCTCGGCTGGAGTCAGAAGAGCTGACTGAGCAGCTAAGAATGGATTCAATGGAGAACGGAACATCTCTGGGTTACTCAACCATCGCCTCATTGCCAGAGCTGTGTACGGATCATTTCCTAGGCAGCAAGGGTTATGGATGTCAAAAGGGTTTCGGAGGTACTGCAGCTCGTGAAGCATGTCACGTGGAAACATGACATCAGGATACATAAATTCTGGAGGAAATGCACAAAGCCCTGGAAATTGAGAAGCCATATTGCCAAGATTCACAAGGCCTTGAGCTGCATCCAACCTGTTGTCATGATTGTTCATTGGCCTTCTATCTGCTGTTGTTTCACAAGATTGTGAGCATTCCTCTTTCTTTTTTACATTTTCAGCTTTGATTTCAGGAACAGGGGGCAAGTTGCTCCTGAAAAACAAAGACCTTGGATCTGCACCATCCCGGAAAAACAAGTCACTGGCATCTGCCAAGCTGCGGGAGCGCTTTCTTACTGGATCTTTGTCATCGGCTCTGAGCGACTCCATGAAGTTGGCAGCTCTTTTGCGATCCATTCTATGGGCATTCATAAATGGATGATTCACTCCAGACATCAATCGGTCAGAACCCAACCTTCCATCAACATCTTGACTATTGCTGCTCGAAGGTGTCACAGAAATCTCACCTCTATCACTTCGCATGTCAGAGTCGGTCAGTAACAGCTTGCCACCTTGACTGGAATCGGGAGACGGGTGTCCTGAGTCTGATGAGGTTGTGGGCGAAGCCAGGGGACTGACAGCAGCTGAGCGAGTTTCAGACATGGAAAAAGGTCGGTTCATTGGCATGGAATGCAGCATGCCAGTAAGAGGTAGGGACGATCTCCTAAAATATTGAAATCAAAAATTAACATTATTTTTAATATCAAACCACCGTTACACAAGGGTTAGGGAAAAATTATATCAAGTCAGTTTATAACAAGGGTTATGCACAACTGTTTTACATAAAAGGTTAAAGACAAGGATGTTCTATGTGTGCATTCTCTTACCCACGACTTTTGTGGCTACTGTCTCCCTTGAGGTAAGGCATAGCCACTATATCTTAAGTCCCTAAACTTTCACAGGAACCCAACACCCCAATAAAACAAACTTGGCCTGGTTGTTGTTGGATCTGCTTTAGCTTTGCAAAGTATTTTAAGAGAAAACTGAAGTGATTTGGACCATTCGCTGTAAAATGAAAGCAAAAATCCTGTTTGTTTCTGCAAACTTTGTTGCAAGCCACATGCTCTTATACAGTAAAATGCATTTAAGTTTGATTATTTACTGTCAAGCCCTTTAAAGGTAAGTCTGTATCTTATCAAAGTATAATTTGCATCCTTAGGTATCTTTTTGATAGGAAGAAAGCCTTTTGCAAAATATTACATTACTTCCACGATACTTTTCTGCTTAAAATGGTGATCTGGTCAGACATAAGACATAGTCCTTTCAAAAAAAGAACTATTTTCAGGCCAGAGAAAGTTACATCAACAATAAACATCAGCATACCTGCCACAAATGGGGTCACTGTTGGCTCTTTCTAATCGTTTCTGAGCAGTTAATGCAACTTCTTTCTTAATGCTTGAACCAGGATGGTGTGTATTAGGACTGTTAGCAGGGGAGCAGATGGCAAAAAGGCCATACTCCACTACTTGGCTGTCTCGCTTACGGGTGTGAATTTCCCTTAATCTACCAGATAATCTGAAAAGCTACAGTGAATGACGAGAAACAATAGTATAAGCACTCTAGCTGTGTTTATCTCACAGGCAAAAAATTACAGTAAGCTTCTTAAGGTGGCTGAACACAGTTTTGCGGGCAGTCAGTAACTCACGTGACAGCGAGTGTTTTAAATTATTATATGTAACTGATGTAAGTGATGTAAGTGTACATACAAATTTCTATATTTTTTATGAAGGGGTAAATTAGATACTAAAATAAAGCCTAAACAAGCACCACACTACATGTACGTACCTTGTAAAACCCTCCACCATGGTTTAATGTGCACTTCATGCGGCAAGTGAATGAACGGTTTAGACTGTCACCATCATCTGAACCTAGATGATAATGCACAAGGACAACAACATAATATTTTCATCAACTTCATACACCAAAATTCATGCTGCTGGTCTCCTGAAACTCAAGCTATAAAATATGAAGTCACATAATTTTAATCCTTACCAAGAATTTCACTAGACTTTATACCATCTTGACTTGATGTATCACAACGTTTATCATCACTCCTCTGAAATAAATAAGTTCCTATTTTAGTTCTGAATATTAGAGATTATGGGAGTTTACATGTAACTCATAATATTTCTAGAGCTGTCTGTGTTGGCTTGTTTCTACACTATAGCGTCAAATCTACAAAACAATAAGCAGCAACCCATAACATTGGTTGCCTTCTGTTTCGAAGCATTCATGGAAACCCAGGGCAGCTAAAATCAGGGTTTGGTTTATCTGAGAGGCCGATTAGCACTAATCCAGGATTAACACTTTGTTCCATTTTTGTGTTTTAAATCTTCCTATATGTTGTTTAGAGTAAAATTTTGTGTTATCATTTCTGTAATTCTGAGTAAAGGCTCAACAGTATTTTGTAAGCTCAAGTTGCATGTTCTTAAACAAGAAAACCTATGTAGGTAGCTTAAAATTTTGGTTTAATCCTGGGTTAAACTTAACCATCTTTCGAGGAACCGGACCCTGGGCAAAAATATGGCAGACATGTTTATAATAAGAACTGGAGAGAGCTGATGCAGTTATGGTCACTTATTCAATGGAGCTAGTTGAAGAAACATTTCAGCTTCATGTTTTTGACAATTTCAAGTGCCACTGGAACTGGTTTGTTGGTGGAGGGGGGAATAATGCAAGAGAACAAGTCTTCCAGATTTTAGATTTCCAGAGGTTGGCATCTCTAAGGTGGCCACACATGAATTAAGGTTCAACTGTATAATTAACTTACTGCTTTGGCATTTTTTCCGGTGAGTTTTGGCCATGCAAGGTTGGACTTGACCATATCCTGATCATCAATGTGTAAAAACTTAAACATGCTCTGGTGAATAACAGCAGCCTGAGGAAAAATGAAGAGTGCTCTCTTAAAAAATTTAATGAATAGCCATATCTATTAGAAGACTTCTAAGCTGTCTAAATGAGTTAGAAGCCTGGCCCTGGTTGTTCAAACGTTGGATAGCATTATCCACCAGATAAATCATGAACCAGCGGATAAGTACATTAGGGAAAATAATTACACTATCCACTGGATATGTTCCAGTGGATAATGCTATCGAGCCTTTGAACAACCAGGGCCAGGCTGTTAAGTGCGAAGTGCAAAGTTTGTTCCTTCCCTTCTTTATACTAGAGGGCTGTGGTGCCTCACATGACGAGCACACCTTTTAACTCATTGTCTCCCGCGCCTAGGGCCGTCGATGCCACGGCATCGACTACGAAAAAAAAATCGCAAAAAATCGCATTACTTCCGCTTACCTCCAAATTTGGCCCACAGGAAGTTAATAGCTTTAGTCAATTATGTGCCTAGTTCCAGCCCCCTGCGAGTTTTGAGCTTCACGCAACGATTTTTCAAAAATGTAGAAAAATGGCGGTGCGTAGTGAGAAGTATTTGGGATGTTTTTGCATAGAATGAAAGCTTATATCGACAGATTTCAACCAAATGCAAGTCAAGCAAATTGTTTTGAAGGATTTTGGAGGATAACAAGAAAACAAACGCGAAAATCGAGGAAAGAAAACAGTAAGAATCTTTGCCTTCAATTCCCCGAGTCGGCAATGTCTGGCACAAATTCTCTTCAAACGCAGTGAGTTCCGTCCCGCTGAGCTTTTTGCCTTCAAAGTCTTGCTTATTTTGATCACTTATATCAGTGAATTCATGTTTGCCTGTTTTTAACTCGATATTTTGCTGAGAAACTAAAAAATAAAGCGTCTTTTGAAGGTAAATATCGGGCCTCAAAGCGATGCTAAAGTATCTAGTTTCGCTATGCTAATTAGCTCTGACCTCATTTGCATAATCCGATACGGTCACAAAATAAATTTGTAGAAAATTGTTAGTCGCTCTATATTTTCGACCAATATTCAGGCTGTTTTGCTTAGATATTGAAGAAAAAAAATTGTTTGTACTGTATTACACAAAACAGACAACTTTCCTGGCAAAATTACACTCATAAAAATTTTTTTAAATAATTATGCGGAAATATGCTTGTTTATAATTTTTTTTTGCAGAATATTATGGGTTTCCTGAGACCGAAATATTTTTTTTCTGAAAGTTTCATTTTTGCCCTTTACAATGAGGTATAGCTTTACAAGGAACTGGAAATAACAGCAGAGATATGAATTTTTAAAGTTGCATGGTCAAAACTACTTTAAACGCTCCGGAGACAATGTGTTAATATATTAAGATAGAATTTTATGCGGGAAGTGATTGTCGGCTAATCACAGAAACCCTGGAAGTGTTGGAAAAACAGAATCATCCTGACTAATCCTTAATTTCTCCCCTGACCATGAAAGATGTCCTGATATCATGTTTTCATTAGTCTACTACAAAAGAAAGGATGACATGTTTGGGAGACAGGGAAATAATTCTCAACAATCAAGGCTTTTCTCTATGAAAGCCAGTCCTCAAACTGATAATTTACTCCCAGTAGGATTGAAATACAATAATCAGGTATGATTTTTTGACCAAAAGAAACATTCTATAGCCAAGAGCACGAAAAGCAGAGGAACAAAACAAGACAACCAGTAGTTTAAATGGACTGACTAACCTAACTGGAAAGCCTTAACATAAACAGCGCTTCACTTTAACAAAAGCAACAGTGCTACAGACTTGATTAGACAGATGTTATTGCACATTTCAGTCACCCACCTGAGAATACCCCAAGAAGTCTCGAACATTTTCTGAAACATAAAATAACTGACCATCTTGTGTTATGACAGCGATAAATCCATCAAGAGCCTGGAAAATCAACAGAATTAATACATTAATACAGTTATTAATACCTACTAGCAACTTAAATACTTAACTTTTTTTTTTATTTGTTTTGCTTTTTTTTTTAGTCTCATATTTCAATTCCATCAATTTACTTTTCCCTGGGCAAATAAAGGACAAAGGAACATTTCAAAAAATAATGATCATTGTAATAACTAAGATACCCCACAGTACTTCTGATAACAGTGCAAGACTGTACTTTCAGTGCATCCCAACATTCTAGACTGGTTCCTTTTACAGGGCATGTATACTTGGGAATTTGAGGTACTTTCAGATTGGAAACTTCTGCCCACTAAAATTTCAATATCGGATCTTTTTCACAGTTTATGTTAGCTAAAGAAAACAATCACTTGCCTGACTGATCTCTTTACACTGTTGTAAGTGAACAATGAGCAGTCTAATGGCTTTTTTGGGTTAAAAAATAATTTGGAAGACAAATGTTCACAGCCTACAGTTTAAAATTTGTACTTTCATGTTCTTAAAATCAATATACTAGACACATATCCTAAAGAACTCTGAATAACCTAGTGCATTCACAGAGGACCTTTGCTTGGCTCGTGCTACATTTTAGCAAAAGTATGAAATTGAGTACAGAAACCTCAAGAATAAAGTATACAGCAGCTTCAAAAATAACCTAGAAACCAAATTCACGTGCATCCCTGAATTATCTTGATTGCATGAGACATGATGCTTCACCTTGTAGTCTAAAATTATAACAACTTTAACACCAGCTTATGCCAGACAGAGAAAGAAACACAATCTTAAATAATTAAACACCATTTACTACTTTTCTTGTCTGGTGTCCATCAAAATTTTTGGGACACTTTACTGTCTTAATTGTTACCCTCCCAATGTTGGTGGACAAGATCGGATCTGGCTTGTCAGCTGTGATAAAAAACATTGGGAGGACGAGGAGACAGGCAAGAAGTAAAAAACCAGCCCAACTATTATTTGTCTGAGACCATAGCTTAGACAAATGATAGGAAACAAAACAACCTGTCATGTTGGGCAATTGTAGCAGGTTGCATGGCATGTTAAAACACATGAGGGAAGAAAACACATGTGATAGAGAAACCTTTAAACTTTAATGGTAATTGCAAGTGGAAGTATACTGTACACCACACATCATGTTTGCTCAGTGCACTGGTTGGAAGAATATAATTTAAGAAAGACCAAAGTGACAAGAGGAAAAAACAGTGCTACGTCACAAAGAGTAATTTAAATTATTGCTCTCTCTATATGCAATTGTCAGTCAGTTTATTGAAACTGAATTGAAATTGAAAAGTTTACTACTTTTTAATCAAAGGCATACAGCATCTTACAAATAAGCTTAAACCTACGGTTAACTTCTAGCACCAGATAAGGCTTTCTCATAATTTTTGCGGGAAAAGACAGTGTTTTGCCCAATAAACACAATGATTAAAAAAGTCTATACTGGACATGGAAAGTAGTTTAATGCTCGGTAGGTACAGACATACATTGTATCTTCCTTAAACTAAGAGGCTTTGTAGAGATGCAAAGAATTGCTATTTTACTGGGTTCTTTCATGTGCGTGTGTGTGAAAATTTACTTTTTCACAAATTAATGATATTTAAATGAACATAAGTGGTGCTTTAATGTTGGCAGAGTGAGGAAAGTCAAAGCCCCCCCAAAAGTCTACAATGAACAAGGAGTAGATCGAATTGCCAAGGTGTGGCAGTGGGTGAAGAGAAAATTTTTATACCATAATTTAACTGATCATTACACAATCATTATACCACAGACAAAACAAAAGGATATCTGTCACAAAAATTAATGGGAAAGAAGGAAACTTTGAATAACTGTCCCCATCATAAAATAACGTAAATACTACCAGAAATGTAATTTTTGTATTTTAGCACTCGAAGTTGATCATGATCAATGCCAATCAATTACATGATAGCAAAAGTGTTTGCAAATGTTGACTTCCCTCAGGCTGTCTACAGACACTTACAACATGTTCTGCAACAGCACTTAAATCACTTGAATCAAAATCATGTGAAAATATATCTTTAAAAAATTCACTAAAGTAAAAATAATGATTACTTATTTTGAAGAGAAGCAAGGTTATGTACATGCTACTTGTGAACATTAACAAATCTCATTAAGAGGGTTAGGATCTTTCAGCTGATTCTTTTACAGTATTTAGTAATAGGAAATGTCTTTAGAACCTAAGTAGTCATTATCCACTGAGAACCTGATGGAATTATAAGAATCCAGATATTAAGACTATAGTGCAAAAGCTTCTTATGAGACTTTAGCTCTTACAAAAAAGCAATTAAGTCAAGATTGGTAGACAGAAAATTAGCCAAGGTCAGCTCCATACGACGTTTAGAAATTATTTAGGAAGTAAACTTGAACAATTCAGATTTTCCTCACAGGAATTTTTATCATGGAAATTCTATATCACAAGAAGTAAAAGATCCTCTAATTCCCGGCAACCAACACTAACTGAGAGAGTCTATCAAGGCTGTATACACTGTCCTTGATGAGTTATCAAAAAAAGAACATAGTCGTACAAATATAGCCCAAGCATCTGATCTGCATAAACTCTGAAATAAATGACCCCAGTTGTGGTAGTAGGGCATCAACCAACACAGATTAACAGGGTACTGCCATCACAGGAAATAGTTTTTGAAAAAGTGAAATGTTACACAAGGGTCCTATTGATGATAACTAAGAAATGGGATTTCTTTTCTGATTTGGGCAAGCTTTGATCTTTAAGTGTAACTTAAAACAGAAGCTTATATTTTCCCAACTTGTATGAATAGGCTGCCATTGCAACCCCTCATTTACAGGCTGTTGCTCTTGATCTCAGCAATGTTTGAGCCATTTTCTCTTACCTCCAAAGAAAGCTGTGAGAAGACGCCATTCCCCTCAACTTCTCTGACAAGTTCTTCACAGGTTTCCTCTGTTCCATGTCTTCCATTTGAAACTAAAAGAATTTATTATCATGTAAGCAGAGAGCAAGTTTAGGTCAGAATCAAAAGATCTTGTAAGATCCAAATCAAAATATAATTAACACTTCACAAAAAAGAGGCGATCCTGGAGATCGATTAGATCACTCCAGGGCTTAACAGAATGATTAAAATTGCAAATGAGGAATTGTTTGTGGTTAAACTTGGGAAACGATACAGAAGCACGAAAGCACGGTCATAAACAAATTGAAAATTACATTGCAACTTTATTACATGTGACACTAGCCAGTCTCCATGAGAATACATACATGTATTTTTACTAATAGGTATATACGTATATATATGAGGTGACGTTTAAAGGTCGACACCGCACCAGAAAAATTTTAAACATTGCATAATCAGAAAGCTTTGCATGTAATTGCCATTGTACGCGAAGAAAACGTACAGTACTATACCTCACTGGACAAAACGAGACGCAGAAATTCGAAGGGACACGGTGAACTTGAATGTCAACACATTCAGTTTCTACTCTTATTAATTTTCCTGTAAACTATAGCTACTTTTGTTATCCACTGATAAAAAAATAGCAAACAAGAATTTGTCAACGTTCTGTTAGCTATACGGTCTCAAATGATATTCTTTAAAGATAACATGTCTCTCACATTAATTAACATACAACAACTGCAAATTTTACGCAAGAATAAGACAGAGTCTGATAGACAACACAGGTCTTTCAGCCACAGAAAATCAGTGAGTTGACTGTAAGGAAAATTTCCATAGTGAACGAGTTGTGCAGCATTTAAGCTTATATTAATATTGATCGACTCCTCGAATCGATAGAAAGGCCATTCATATGCAAAAAAGTGATCCAAGAAGAGACGAAGCAATATTGTTTACTTAAGTACCATATTTATAGAGCTAAACCTTGCTTCAAACGTCTAGCGGCTGGGTGGACAGAAAATTTTGTTTCGCGTTGAAAAATCCCGCACCACGGGAGGCCTTTTGGACAAACAATAACGACCTTTGTGGAGCAAGAGGAACGAAACCAAATGAGCTCGAATTTATTCAATCTGATCGGGGCGTTAACATAAGCAATCTCGCAAAGTTATCGACGCCGTTGTTGCTTCAAGCAGTCAGCAAAGTGAACCAATTTACGTTACAAGTTGCTCCATAAAAGATCAAAACAGGCCTATTTTTTAACCTACGAAATATGGGGGAGTTGTAGCCAATAAAAGGCGTAGTAAGTATAGCCGCCCCGCAGCTCTACAACCGCATAAAAGCAAAACTTACACGTATGGCTAGACTTGAATGTAAGTGGACGCTCAAATTGATTATTTGAATACCCGAAGGGTAAACAATTTTTTTCTTTCGAATCGCATAGGTCAAGGGTAACGTAACTCCGCAAAATGGCTCACCAAAAACACAAACCAAGTAACTTTGCAAGAAAAAGAACCTTATATAAACGACTCATGAATTCCTCTAAAGCCCAGACACGCAATGAACACCCTCCGATTTCGCTTCACACAGTGAAAGGAGAAAACTGAACGCTGCATGGAGTAATCAGATTTTTTCCTCATTCACGAAATATAGTTGCGTGAGCAAAGGTTAATAAACATTTCGCTTTCGTCGTACTCTGCGTGACTCAGGTGGTTTACATCAAATGCATTTTATAATGGAAGAGGTGTGAATCGCCAGAGTAGTATTCAAAAACTCTAGATCACAACACAAAACCAATTTCGTCCTTTAAAGCTCAGTCCTGACGAGGAATAAACTAAGGATAATTCTGTTAATTATAAAGAAAAGGCCCTGTACCGATTATTTTTTTTATCAGGGTAGTAAAAAGTTATTTTGGCAATTTCCGATCGCAAGAAACCAACATTGAACTGCTGGGCGGTTTTATTCAATGCGGACGCTAGAAGCGTCGCGCCACAAAACAAACTTTAAAAACAATAGCCTTTAGTCGTTCTTGTTATTTAACTTTTATAACGTTAAACCTTAATCAGTAGGGTCAGAATATTATTAAAGACCATCGAAAATAGAAAAATCCAAGCGCGAACACACCAACCCTGAAACTGCTTTGCCAGACGTTGAAAAAGAAAAAAAGGACAACAATGTTCAGTTTGTCGATCCGATACTCTTGAATTTGTTGGATTCCATTTTAAACTCCATAAAAATCTGAGTGATAATGCTTGTCATGCTTTCATTTCAAATTCTTGAGGGTAAGACATTCCGGAGCCCAAAGCTTCGTTCATAAAGTCACGTATCGCGAGTGAACCAGTGATAATATTTCGCCGGCGCAAACATGTAATCACTACACCTTAGTCAGAAACCGGAAAGCGAAAGAATCACTTTATCCAAGCAGCTCGCTTTCCAGCAGACAAATATCCAAACAACACTTGTCTTAGTTGATACCACTGTATATGCCTAAGCCGTGGAAAGCAAATTTGAAAATGTCTGCTCCCAGTCACTGCACTACCAAAAACCTCGCGACAACGAAACGGGAAAACGTTCATTATAATACATGTAGGGCCATCACATATGACCTTTTTGCCCCCGGTCTTAAGAATAATCAAAACGTTTAAGGATATCCCCTTTCATCTTATTTTATTTACGTTAAGTTGCAGCAACGCAATTTTTCGTGGCTTGAGCTTAGTAAACATAAAGTTGAGAGGATACCATAAACAGCACAAACACTTCAAATGTCCGCCATGAAAATGAATTTTTCAATTTCCCTACAGACATAACTGACAACTAAGATAAGCAAAAATCAATCAATTTAATATCATAAAATGCATCAATCTTCAAAAGCTCTCCAGGTTGACTGCGGGTTGAACAAATTGTGAAATTCAAATCCACAGGCGAACTTACAAAAAAATAAGCTTAATTGATGGTAGCAACCAACACCGCAATTGTCTACGATGAAGTAAAAATTTTCACGATATAGGCAAACCAGCCAGCAAAACTAGAAAAGAATAAATGCAAAATACTAATTACCTTGAAAGAAACTCTTTGCTCTCAAATAGCTCACTGTAAGTCTAAGAATGGAAATCTTATCCAGTTTCGTGACGATTTCTTCTGGGAAAGGCAGCAGCCTTGCGAGATTATCCAGCTCGGCGTTAAGTCGATCGCGATGTCGTTTCGATGGGTTCCCAGGCCTAAAAAAGCAGTTAGAAAAACACGATTTAGGCAATAAATATCTCATTTCGGCTTAGTACTTTCCCTGTGTTATATTTTAGAAGCACAATTCACGAAACCACGGTAAAAGTTTAGGTGAGAACACTCCACACAAACATCACACCATGTCCAGGCTCAAGTCGGACAATCGGAACCTTTCTACCTCACGATTCTCACACCGACACGAAACACCAACCAACAAATTTCTCACGATACTAACCCATGGGTTTTCTTCTTGCGTTTAAGTTTACTGTTTGCGTTCACATCCATCAACTCGGAGTCCGCCAGGGTGACTAAAGTATTGCTATAACCCGTTCAGCAAAACGTTGAATCCAAATAGTCGATGGTGAATTCGCGAGACACTACGCGGCCAGCCATAAAGCATACAAATGATTTTCACGTAACAAAACCAGTGCGAATTCGTCCGCTCAAGTCACGACTCGTCCACACACGGAAATAGGTTGCCGTAGCGTAATTATGGCGGTTTTTAAAGTCTAGATTACGTGGACTTTCGAATGCCCAAAAGCCAGTGAAACTTTAGTCATATCTGAGCGGGACCGATTCCACGACCATACACCAAAATGATTGACATGCACATTGTACCGAGCTGGTATTGATCAAGGCCAGCAACTGACTAGGGTTATAAAAGAAACGATGCGATTGGCTGCGCACGTGAAACAGACACGATAATTGGTTTGTTTTAAGTCGACCCAGATAATTTATGCAATATTTACAATTTGCTGCCCGGAATTATACAATCCTCAAAATTTGCATGTGAAAGAAACGCAAAGGAAAAGTCTCGTCACATGCGAGTGGCTTACCATTGTGTTTTGGTTTTATCAGTGTCCATGTTTTTTAGTCACGCTGAAAGCAGAAGGCTCACAAGGTCACTCATCCGCGACGGTCAACTTCTGGTCTTCGTCAAACTTGGTTGTTTTTCCAGACAAAAGGTGATAGGAGATGAAATTTAATCTTTTTGAGGCAAAATCGGGTTTTTCAAACGTGAGTTGCCATGCTAATTATATTCACACCGGATGGTTTCTTTAAAGATCTCACGAGACGCCGAGACACATATATTGTACTAGTCGCTTATTGAAATAACTTGGCTGTCTTTGTTTGATTTCGTTTTGTCTTGGGAAAAACGTCACCACAACAGAGAAATGTAATACCTTCTTCTGCGTGATTGTCTTAAACTGTATGTACTCGGTCAATAACAAACAAGACTATGACAAGAAACACCTCATTTTCTTATTTTTCTCTCTTTTTCATCGATATGTGTTCAGGCGATGCAAGAAGTTCCGAGCTCCGTGTTGTGTTACAAAAGCTTTAAATGCATCATTAGTTTGATAATAAATATTGAACATGCCTTACTGGAATACGACCATTTCGACTCAGTATTCAGTATTTGCATAAATAGGACCACACTTCATCTGAAATTTCAAAAAAGTCAACAGCGGTTATAGTTAAACAAAAACCAAAACACACACACTCAAGGCCTCGCTTGCTGCTTGCTGTATGCTACCAGCGAAGGTCGGATATATTCACGCGTCACGCCCCCTTGCATTTACGTCACGCAAATATCAAAACGTAAAAAAACTGCAATCTGTTTTCCAGACCAGGACCTTGTTGACTGTAAAAACCATCATACCCTAGAAAAAAAAGTCTTTAAAACTGAAGCTTGAAAAACAAGTCATTTTTCCAGCCGTTTTCGTGACAAAAATACGCCTATAATGTATTTCGCACCGTTTGTAAGCACATGTCACGCGACATCATTAAATCACGAAAAAGTTCACGCAACGCGAAAGCTCACGCTTTCCTCTTCAAAACTGACCCATGGCTACCAGTAATAGCGACAGAGACTTCAGATTTTCAGAAAAGGAACCGCGTGCGAAGTGAGGAAAAAGAAAAAGAGAAGAACTCTTCTTGAATTTAGCAAATATCATGCAACTGACTAATGTTCAAAATTTTTCACCGTGAAAAAAAAAAAACCTGCGATCGAAAAAGCACAGAGGAAAGAATGTCATCCGGGGTGCATAAGACCTTCGCCAAAAAAAAGAAAACAACAGATTTTGAGAACTATATATGTTTATTCAAGAAGCATACACAAAGCCTCGTAATTGAGGGTTAAAAAGGTCGTTCTTCAAAGAAAACCAGGTATTTATGTTTATAATTGACATTTGCACACTTTCCCTGGCCCTTTCCTTAAAAAAAATTAAGCTTCCCGAACAAAGGGGGGAAAGGTAACAAACTCTATACGTTTAAAGCACAAAAATGTGATGAAAAAGAAATATTAGAAACGTACGGCGATGAAAGAAAACTTCTCACATGGAACGTTTGAAGATATCACTCTTACTTTTAAAAATCCACCATGACAAAATTTATAGATGTTGATGGATATTTTTTTCCTTAATCTAAATAGTGCCTACTGGAATAAATATAGATTTCGATTTCGTGTCCAGGAATAACTTGAACTCTCGTGTGAGGCGACAGTCAAAATTCAACATCTGGTAGGTTCTTGTTATATTTGTTCCAAAAAATTGTACCGAAATTTAATAGCAAGACGAATTTTTAGTGTGTGGCAAATTGGAAAAGGAAATTTCTTTTTATTTGTTTTTTGCCTTCAGAAATGGCTAACATCTGCGCTATTCGACACGAACGAATTTACACGCCCAGTCAGCGCAAGTAATCTGGTCAAACATTGTCAGACAGTCTACAGACCAGGTGGTTGAAAGTACTATCTTTTGAAGGAAAACTATATCCCTAAAATCACAAAATCTGCCACAAACCTCGGATAGTTATTAAAATAGACTCGTTTCACCCGTTCCAGAATAAAGAGATGAAGTTGATATGAAGATTTTTACATTGCGTGCAAAGAAAGGCTTTTCTGGCCTGGCCAAACGGTTTATGAATATTGATGTGCTAATCCTTTTGAAAGCTTGTCGCCTTTTTCTGTAAAGTGCGACTTGAATTCATAATTGCACATTGTGTTGTTAAGTGGACCAGGTTGTCATTAGCGACTTCTATAGAGTTTCAAAACAATTGAAAAGAGATGCTCTCGTCATTTGTGAACTATGCTTTTAAACGAAATCCTTTATTTCTTTTAACGGAAAATCAAGAATAAGTTTTGGGATTTTGAGCGACTGCGAGTCTTCCGTTTTTCCCAGTCTTTATCCTACTGATTGCGTAACAATGTTCATTGTGTATTGTCCTCTTCAATAAGACCAGTTACCAAAACCTGTTTTTAGACGACCAAGTGTGCGACTCGTGACCAGCAATGATAGCTAACGTCCTCGTGCAAGCATTTTTTTTGGTACTTGGAAAGTGTCACCCTTGAGTGCATAACCAAACAAAAATTTTGACTCACAAAGAACATTACACACGACTCCAGGGAGATGTTGCCGGGTTTCTGAAATTATTATTTGAGATGAAGTAACTCCTTTTATAATTTTAATCGTGCAAGCATTTTTTTTTTGGTACTTGGAAAGTGTCACCCTTGAGTGCATAACCAAACAAAAATTTTGACTCACAAAGAACATTACACACGACTGCAGGGAGATGTTGCCGGGTTTCTGAAATTATTATTTCAGATGAGTTTAAACTGAAATAAATAGATTCACTACGGTTTTTTAATTTTAATCAGTCTCCGGTTCGTGAAGACTTTTCTCGGCCACACGTGACACACTGTGCTACATCTTTGTCGGGAAACTGATTTCTCGCTAAAAGGTCATTTTCTTTTTTTGCCCATAGCATATATTATGTAAACGAATTATATATTTTCTTGATTAAATTTCACTAGTAAAGTTTTTTGGTAATTTTTTTTTTATTATTGCTAGTAAAGTTTTTTACATTGCAAACATTCTCGTTCTAGCACAGGGTCCTTTTCCAGAAAGGCTGTCATTCTAGCAGTAAACAGGCCTTGATATGGTTAAGGCCTGTTTGTGGTTGAGATACGGCAAATAAATGGTTAAAACTTGATTATATTTTTAACCGGGAGTTTCAACTTGCAGCTTGTGCAGGGAAATTTTTATGTGCATTAGAAATACACCTCCGACGAACACGATTTTTAAAACTGTAGCAAGCATCTTTGATCACCTTTGCCATGTTTTGCTGCCTTTCAAATCACACCAGATAGATCAAAGGTCATCAAATTTAAAGACCCCATCAAAGCCGACATCTCGAACAGTGGAAACAAAGGGCGGTGTATTTGGCCAAGTTGACGTAGCTGAAATGCTAGAAGATCAATATAGGATAATGGGACCATTGTTCTCTCTTTATGGAATATTTTGCCACTGGAGACAGAGAGAAATTAGAATTGGAAAGTGCCTGTGGCTGAATAAGCTAGGCTCCTGAAAAGATATTAAAAACAATTTTGACGACAAAATGAACGGTTTCAAGTAAAGAAATTAATGGCGGGTGGTTAAAGGAATGTGGCAAGAGCTTCACTTTAAAAAAACAATTTATTATTTTTGTTTTGTTGTCTCGCTTCTTGGCTATAACTTTGGCAAAGAGTATGGATATAAAGTATAATAAAGAACATTGTCAGGAAGTCTAGAGTTAAGGGGCTCAACAGCTGCTTCTCGGCAAGAGAGAGAACTCGCCTCTGAACGAGGTTGAAACGGGGGCAGCCTGTCGGTGACGTAAACCATCGGAGCACGTGACCCGAAACGCACAGGCCCTGTGAAGCCGAATGAAGAGGCCTAGGACTAGGCAAGGCTGTGCTCGAATTGTGGGTGGCTCCTTCTTAAATGTTCCTCAAATAAAGAAGAAACAAAAAGCAAGTACTGCGGTGATAATGCATAAACGCACTTCTGGAAAGAAAAAAAGACTTTACCTTGACGTTTCGTATCGTTCCAACATACATCTTCAGAAGTAATAAGTGTGTTGGCCAAAAAAAAAAAGTTCCTCAACTAGTATAAGATTTAATGGAACCAAAACCAATTGAGGAATTGCACATATTTGTATTCTCACTGAAGGAAAGATATCAAAATTCCCTCTAAGAAACTCTGATTTATCCGTCCATTTAAATGGCCATCAGTTCGCCAATTAGGCCTTTATTCTGAATTTCCGATCACGTGTCAGGTCATGTGACCAAAATAACGCGTTGATACATTCAGCCATCAGTAAAAATTCCTCCCTGTTTTAAGTAACAAAGCAAATAAATGTTGATCAATTCAATTTTTCGGACATATGTTTAACGCTGAAAATTTGAAATTTTATTTCTACGCTCAAAGGCAACCTCGTCCCCAGGGCTTTTCCCTTAAAAAATGGGTGGGAAAGCCCTGGGGACGAGGTTGGCTCAAAGATACAGTTGATAGATTTTTTTGTGGACTTCAACAGATTACGAAAGACCAAAGAAGAGAGCAACTTACAGCTTAAAATTTTGCAGGACTGGACCAACTAAAATCGAAAAGGAAGAAAGAAAAGAACAAAAGAGAAGAAAGAGAGAGGAAAAAGTTAACCATCTGTACACTTTGTATCCTTACATTACTTATTTATTACATAGTGTTGTATTTCAGATGTATCTCGGTACGTGTGCGCGTACAATTTTATTTTGAACGCGTGCATTATTTGTTTATTTATTTAATTGACGTGTACATTTAGTTCGTTTATTAACGTCTTAATTTTACTTTGCGTTATTTTCCTCACTTATACA